CTAGTCAAGTTGGGTGCGCAAGTGTTTTACTACAAGAGGTAGATGGTGTCAGATATCCGATTCATTACTACTCCAAAAAGTTTACGAAACAGGAGTTAAACCTAACAGTTTATGAAAAGGAGGCATTAGGGATCGTTTTATCAATCCAAAAGTTTAGGAGCTATTTGGAGGTAATTCCATTTTATCTTGAGACGGATAACCAAGCATTATCATGGGTTTTGTCACACCACAACAAACTGGGAAAACTAGGGCGATGGACCGAATTAATACTTGGCTTGCCTTTTAAAGTTAAACATATAAAGGGGAAAGATAACAAAATAGCAGACTGTTTGTCGAGAATGTTTGAGGGATACCCTACAATTGAAGTGGAGGAAAAGGTGACGGACGATGAGATTAGTAAAATGAAGCAGTTTGTAAATAATTTAAGTGAAGTGCTCAAACCAAATAAAATAGCGGTGGTGTCTGATTACCCTCTAGCTTTTACTGACCTACAAGAGCATCAAGCTAAAGACGACGAAATTATGCAGGTAATGAACAAGATAAAAAGGGGAGAAAACCTAACACATTTTACTATTCAAAAGGGTGTATTACTGTTTAAGCCTCCTAACAAAACAAAAGGGAGGATTGTTGTGCCAAGTGCGTTAAGAAGGATGATATTACATTATTACCATAATAGTGTTAGCACCGGATGCCATTTGGGTATCTCTAAAACAATGAACAAGATTAAGGATACTTATTATTGGGAAAAAATACTTGATGACGTAAGAGACTATGTGAGGCAGTGTGAAACGTGTGGTCGATCAAAGCAAGCGCAAAGAGTGTACCACGGGGAAATCGTTAATTATCAAAGTGATAAGCCCATGGGTAAACTATACGTTGACATTGCGGGGAGCTTTCCCAGGAGTAGAAATGGTAATAACATGTTACTTGTTGTGGTGGATGATTTCACCAAGTTTGTTTGGCTAATACCCCTCAGAGATGCAAAAACATCCAGTATCATCAGGGCGATCGAAACGCAAGTTTTTAAGCATGTAGGGACAGCGGAAATGTTGGTTACAGATAACGCTAGTTATTTCAGAGGAAACGGTTTCAAAAACTTTTGTTTCAAGTATGGAATAAAGTTACATAGAATAGTAGCATATAACGCTAAGTCAAACAAAAGTGAAAGGTATATCAAAACTGTAAAACAGAGTATGGTGGCACTGCATCATAACTGCCATGATAAGTGGGATAGCAACTTGCACTATATACAACTGGCACTTAATACTGCGGTAAATGAGGTGACAAAACATACAGCGTTTAGGTTAATGTTCAACTTTGAACCAAACTGTAGCTTGTCGGCTATGTGGAGAGTCAATGACTTGCTAGGGTATCACACGAATAAGGAGAATGTTAAATCAAAGTTTAATCATGCTATAAGAAACCTGAGATTAGCTCATGCAAAGACTAAGCAGCGGAGATTGTTAAAGGAAGGAGAAAAACATCCATTCAAGTTATTTGATGCTGTTTATGTTAAACTTCATCACTTGAGCAACAAGGCTGCTAAGTTTCAGGCAAAGTTAGCGTTAAAATGGTCAGAGAAATATAGGATAATACATTTTTTGACGCCGGTTACAGTTCTGTTACAGAAGGTGGATGGCTATAAGATTATTAAAAGGGCTCACGTAGATCAGTTAAAGAAAGCTTGGTAATGAGTGCACCTGTTGTAAATAGTAGTAGCTATTTAAATCGATATTCAATAACAAAGAAAGGGTTTATGTATATATATATTTTTTACTTTTACTTGTTTGTGAAGCCTGGATCTCCTGTGTAATCGAACGCCGGGTGGAGAATTATCAGCGAAGCCTGAGGTCTTAAGATTAAAACCTGAAATGGAACGCGAGTTTGACACTTGTGGGTGAAGCGTGACAGTATGATTGTAACGGAACGCAGAGTAAAATATAAATAAAGAAAAGGGGAGGAGAATAATTGGAATAATAAAGGGATAAAAATATACAGTTGAAAGGTAGATAATTTATACTTAGGACGCACTGGCGTTAAGTGATCAAAGGTCTCGACATGCAGGGATTTGGAACAATTTAAAAATCCGTCTTCGATTATCTATGGTTAATCTGGTAATGAAATGGTTTCATGGCCAGGGAGCTAATTTCAAGATCAGAAAAGGGGAGACAGCTATAGGGGATCATAGTGTACAAGTTGAGTTAAAAGTGTGATATATTATCATTTCATGTTTTTGGAATGTTCGCAAGAAAATAGCAGTTTCCTTAGTTATTAGAGTAGCAACAGATGTATAAAATGTCTTGTAAATACCTTAATTGAAAATGTGTTGTAATATAGTAGAAATAAAATTAATTGTTGTAATGTTGTAAAAGACCAGTTAGTGGAAAATAAATTATATGATAAACTATGATAATAAATCATTTAATGATAATAAACTATGATAATCAGACCAGTGTAATATGAAATAGTAAATATTGACTGAGTGGGACTAGAATATTCCGATATCAGGCAGAAATCATGATAAGGCCAGGGCGCCTTATCGCGGGCCGAGAGCCGGCGAAGCGACTAGCGTCATGGAACGTAGAGATTATCCTTACATAAGGAGAGGTGATGATTTTATGTTTGAGGTACAATTTTTTTTCAACACAAGTTTTTTTTTGTAAATAAAAAGTCGTTTTATGGGTTAGGAGGAAAACGAGATTTTATTTTAAAAGGGGAGATTTGTAACGATTTTCGTTACAATAAATCTGTTAGAAGAGTTTGATCTAGATAGGTTTAATATTTAACGTTAAGGTTTAAGGTTTAATATTTAGGTTTTTTATTCGCAGACGGGTTTACATGTTATGTAGGTGAGCTGACGTTCAAGGACAAAAGACAAGGCAATGGTCACCTATTCATGCGACGGAGGGGGGAATTAGTTTCATGGTTTGCAAACAGATAGAGTCGCTGTAGGTGTACGCCGAAATTAAATGAGTGAGGGCATACTACGGTAAATGCCCACATTCGTCATTGTACTGTATGTCATGTTGGTCGCATCTGGAGAAGCAGATCATCTTACATGTTATAACCCTCAGAACGAGGTAAGATTTTAAGGAAATTTTAGTTTATTTAAAAAATTACAAATTTATTCCAGGAAAGAGCGTTAATATATCGAGAAGTGCATTGTTAATTGTTTTAAGTGAATGTTTTAAGTTGCAGAGTAGTTTGAATAGACAAGTTGTAGATTGCAGGATCATACCACGTGGTGGCAAGATAGAAAATGTATAATTTTGTAATTTTAAATTCCATCTAGGCACTCAATCTTTAGTTTTAAGTAATTTGAAGTATGTATCATGGGTATATTATTAATTTCTGAGCTTAATTTGTACAGTCTGAATCATGTTAGGGTAATAGCTTCCTTTCAAAAGTATGTAACTTAATCGAAGTTTATTTAAATTAAATAATAATTTGAACAAATGTGTCACAAAATCTGAGTAATAAGTGTATTTTATAATAGAAAAATTCCCATAAAATAAAGATGACAAATTAGACGATTTTATTAAATGGCCTTGATAAATGTAGTAGACTAATTACCTTTGCACTGGAATGGTTAGATATTTGTACCTATCGTGAACTGGGAGGAGTACTGTATATATATTGTATACAGCAGTGAGTGTGATTACTGAGAATGGCGAGTTTTCACAGGGTTCACGTCTACCCCTGGATCTGAGGCATTAGGCAGGCTATTGTAATCTACGGCATCGGGAGGAAGGCCTATCATCTTTGAAGGTCTCGTCTTCAGATCACTGATTTTCTTGGATCTGCGCAGACTTCCACATATTTTCAAGCTAGATGCTCCATGGAGATCACAAGTCTTCAGTCCAGGATACCACGTCGCGGGATGGAAGTGATGAGTACCATTCCAGTGCAGTTTATTTTGATTTGGGGCCTATTTTATGTAATTTTAGTTGAATTTTGAGGCGTAAAGACTTAGAGATAGTTTGTTAGAGTGTGTTTTATGAGATTTTGTGTAGGAGAGGGGAGAATTTACAGGGTACTTAATTTGTTTTTAGTAAGTGATTATTTTATTTGAACAGAGAAAAATTACTCGGAGTTTCCAAGTAAAAGAGTCAAAATTGTAATGTATTTTATGGTCATATCTAAAATTCTATAATTCTTTGTAAACATTACGAATTGTTGTAATAAAAATCTTTTCTGGAGTAAACTGTTTTATTTTGCTTCCAATCTATGTTTGGGTGCATACTGTCTCACTATTGATGGCTTTAAGCTGAAGAGTAGCATCTCTCATAATGAGTTAACTGTAGTACATAAAATATGAGGGACGTTACACACTGAGCTGAGATAAAAAACATGTTAAAATATTTTGTTGTTTTGTAAATTCACACTTTCGCTGCAATCGTAAAGGATGATGAAGGTTTTCTGTGACTCTGAGAAACAATCCATGATTTCTAATTGACAGCAGGAGATTCAAGATTTTTGCCTGATCATGGATGATGATGATGTTAAAACCCAGAGACAGGGATTGGCTGATGGAGTGCGCCCAGCCGTTATCCTCACACTGTGGAAAGTTGCGTTCCCCTAAAGTGTCCCCGTGAGCTTACGGGTACTTGCCCGATTTCACCTCCAGGAAAGGCTACTTCCCCAACCTGGATGGAGGGATGTCACTGGGAACTCTCACTCTGGGTACAACCCAAAGTGGCTGGCTTGCTCAGTCGTCCATAACTGTGGCCCAACTGAAGTGCCGGTTCAAACACCGGGCAGTTACAAGAGCTAGGGTCCGCGTGGTCGCTAGGCCACGTACTCACGCAAGCGTGGGCCCCCTGCGGGGCCTTTCTGTACCTAAGCGATTTAGATAGTTGGAGTTTTGAAAAGTGGAGTTCTACTGTAGGCCTTCTGCTAAAAACTGTGAATTCAAATGAATTGTAGCCAATGTTGTAAAGACTTGTCATGTATATATCAGGTCATGTATGTCTATAATTATGTATTCACTCTAATTTCAGATATGGTTTCAATAGTGACGGTCACGATGAGGTCTACAAGAGATTGGAATCGTTGAAACAAAACAAAACTTTCAATGGAGTTCTGGGGATTAATCTGGGAAAAAATAAAGAATCGAGTGATCCAGTTGATGATTACGTCAAAGGGATAAAACTGTTTGGAGAAATAGCTGACTACTTGGTCATAAATATATCAAGGTAACAGTCAGTACATTAATTTCATTACATTAATTGTTGGGGAATTGTCTACCTTCAGTAAACTTGCAGTGTTTATTGTTGCTACTAATCATCATCCCAGAAATCAATTAGATTTGTATCAAAATTAAATGTAATCTGAAAACTGTATGCAATGGAATATTGACTAAGACTATTTACATTCTAAGGGGATTACTTAATATTCTACTGGAAGTCTTCTACTGAAATGAAATGAAACCAGTGCTTTATTTTCATTAAAACAATGCATTACAAAATAATAAGATTTTTTCATAAATAACTCTTCCATATACAAAGAAAATATCTACATACAACCTTGAATCACACTTATTCTATCGTGTTTTACCTTAATATCATTTTGTTTTGTTTAACTGCACTATATCAGCATTAGCCCAAAGGACTGTCAGCTGGGCTGGCAGCTTTCATACAAAATATTTTTTTCACCACACTATGACGTTTTTGGCTGTATTACATACGTTAATTGGTGGCTGAAAGTTACGTTTTGCTGGCCATGCCAGCTGTCGCCAATTTGGGGACCGAGCAGGTTTTTACAGGCCGGGGCCGCAAAATCAGCTGTCCGCTTACTTACTTAGAACATGAATGCGTTTTAAATACACAATCAAAATCCATAGCATTGCAATATAGAATTGTGTTATTGTCACTGTTGCCTAGCAACTATTTATTTATATTTTTGCTGATTCCTCAAATTATTTCTTAACCTTAAAGTTGTAGTTGTGTTGACTATCAGTGTGCATTATTATAGTGGTGAATAGTGGTAATAGGGTATAGTGTGGTGAAAAATAGCATTCGTACCACGGACCGAAATGGTTTAGCAGCTCTCGATCGATTTAAGTTCTCGACTTCGTCTCGAACTTAAAAACTATCTCGAGCCGGCAAAACCTCATTTTCGGCCCTTGGTACGAAATATACTATATTTTCTCCTTATTTTCCATATTCCCTGCAACACGATAGGATGGCAAACAATGTCTTCTACTGTTAAATTGAAAATGTATGACGTTTCTGCGATTGTGGGAGGTAAGAATGACACTGTTATTGTAGGAAATGAATCTTAATCAGTTGTCAATGAACTTGGATACAACTAATACTCATAGAATTTTAAGTCAGTAAGCATAAAGGATACGCGATTCCTTTATGCCAAAGGTATCAAAGGTTTTGAGGAATCTAGAAACAGAATTAGCTATTTTAAATAAAAAATGCTACCTGTAACTTTAGGTTAAATATTCAATATTCCTTACATTTTATTTGACACTAATACCGTCTCATTTCCGAGTGTCAAAAGTGATTTCTTTACTATGTTTAATATACATTTGATATAGCCCTATTGTTGTATTACATAATCATCATAGGGCTTGATCAAGCATGTTTGATATGTAGCCCTAACACTCCAGGGCTCAGAGACTGGCAGCGCAAGGAACAGCTAGAAGAGTTGTTACGTCAGGTGGTTGCTGCACGGAACTCTCTGCCCGGAACACACAAACCTCCGCTACTGGTGAAGCTTGCGCCAGATCTCACAGCGAATGAAAAGAAAGACATTGCCCAAGTGCTTACAAAACCCGAGGTAGTGTGTCATTCAATTTCTTGTTATATTAAATTAAATTATACATTAATATTGTTTACAACAAATTTAAACAAATTGTTTGTAAACATTTAGTGAATCTTAATGTTACATCAGTTTACGTACTAAAAAAATCTGCTTGAACTAATAATGAAAAGGAGTTTAAAAATAAAATAGGAGGGGGAGGGATGTAAGGTACAGACGTATTTAGAGTCCAAAGAAAAGTAAATATCCTGGAATTGTCCTTGTATTTTTTTTCTGGACACCCTTTAGTCCAATTTACAAAACTCAATTAATCTCACCGCAAATCAACATGAATGTTTTCACTCCCTGCATTAAGTTTCTTGTCAATCGTTAAAGATCGCTCTTTCAAAATCTTTGAGTCTTTTTCATTTTTAGAATTCTTTACAAGTTACCATCGTCTAAACACTTTTTTAGGATCTCGCATTTGTTTCAGTGTGCGGTAGATGGACTTGTTATCTCCAACACTACAGTAGGGAGGGATGGCTTGACGGGGCCTTACAAACAGGAGAGCGGTGGCCTGAGCGGGGCCCCTTTATCTGGGGCCTCTACGGAGCTCATAGCAGAGATGTATTCTGCCACAAAGGGTAAATTTTAATTAGAAAAAATCTGTATGTAGGCCTACATAAAAGACTTGTGTTTACCATGTAGATTTTTCAAACCTTTATTGACTTTGAAGAGAAATATACATTTGATTCCCCGTTTAAAAGTCAGTATTTACAACAGAATTATGTTAACGATTGCAGCATACTCGGTCGGACGCTCAATTAAGTGTGTTAAGTTACATTCTAATACTGAAATAAAGTGTTACTGGATACCACAAAATTAGTAGAATTAAGCCACCAACAGTGTCTATCAATTACTCATTTCTGTTTTACCTGTTTCTGTTTTTAATCATTAAATAAATACCAAGGCAAACTGAAAAAACCTTACAACTTATTCTAAACTATAGCATCTGTTATGTAAACATAAATTATCAAAGTATAAACAACTAAGAGGGCAAAGAAAACTTTGTGAAGTGATCATTCTTTGCATTCAAGATTAGATACAACTTAAACTAATATTTTACCAATGTGCAGATATTGGCAACACTAACAACAACGACTTCTTTGTCACCATCGAACCTGGAGACATATTTCTCCTCTCAAATCTTCCTTGTAAAAGAATTGTCAGTGATATTGAAATTTTGTGTGTAGTGTAAAGTCTTTTGTTTTTTATGTTCCAAAATAAACTTTAGGTAATTCTGTAATCCCATCAAAATGGTTTTAAATCTTGACATTTCAACATTATTTACCATATAGATAAATGTTGTTGCAGGGAAGATCCCGATCATCGGTGTAGGTGGGGTGTTTTCTGGAGAAGATGCATACAATAAGATCTTGGCCGGAGCGAGTCTTATCCAGCTGTATACTGCTTTCATCTATCACGGCCCCCCACGGGTGACACGCATTAAGAAAGAACTGGACGACCTGTTGCAGTAAGTCTATGTAAACGTTGGTGTTGAATTGGCTATACTCATGGATATGTGAGCCTTGTACTTATATTTATGACGGTTGCAATGGAGAGTGAGTGTAGAATGGAGTGAGTTTACCTTTGTAGCTTCATTACTAACTTAGATCAGACATTTCTTTGGCCAGGATCATCTATACTTATTTATTAGGCAATCAGGTTTTTTGTGACAATTACTCCTCCGAAACTACTGAACCAATTGACATGTTTTTGGCGTCATTGGAAAGAGCGTAACGTGAAGTTGTGCAGGAAAATTCCTTTTTAGGGAAATAATTATAGAGCCCTGGGGCCCTTTAAAGTTGTGTATTTCTGCATAAGATTAACATGAGAAACAAACATTGTTATGAAACTCCAGCTGTTGTCACAAATTAAAAGTGAGAAGAAGAACATATGTTAATTGTAAACAGTCAATAAGTTTGCTAATTTTACAGTTTGCTACAAACATTTACTGATTCGGTTGAAATTAAATATTTAATATTTATTTACTATTAGAATTTGGGTTGGCATAAATATTACAATGAAAAAAGCGAAAGAGTCTGGATAAATGTATATACTAAAAAGAAAACTGAACGAACACTGTGCTGCATTTATTAGTTTAGTTATCATTGAAAGATACGATTTGCAAACTATGGAAACATAGGAAAGTCATAGAACACCACCAAGGAGAAGAAATAGAAATAATGTTTTTTTTTTATTTATAATCTTTATGCACAACCTAATGCGGCTATGAGTAAGGCTATTAGTAGAAAACACTAAAACACAAGATCAGCTTTTGAAAAATTATATATTTATAAGAAATGTTGATTATATCGATCTGTTATGTACATCTTGAGTATTTCCATAATCTTTGAGTCAAATCTTTTAAAGTCATCAGAAATTATTACTGTTATTAATAACGCCTGTAATACTTAGCAATAGCTCGAATTCGAGCAACAGGGACACTAGTTTATTAAAATCCCCATAATCACAGTCAGCTGGGTCTAGTTTGAACTGTAAAAAAAGTCTGACAATTAATTCCCCAGCTGGACAGTTGGTTCCAGTTTTAAATTATCAAAAGCTTCTGACATTACTCAGAACTGAACCAACTTTCGGATTGTCACGCAAGATTGTCACTCAGCAATCCAACTCCCATATGCCTAGAAGATTCCTTCTGTAATTAAAATCTCCATGTCTAGTTCTTGATAGCAAGGTCAGTCAGCAGAGCTTAAAACATTGTTAGCGTTCTGATTTACTCTGACATTGTATTGTTGCAGAAAGGATGGGTTCAAGTCCGTGTCCGAGGCTGTAGGCAAAGGAGTGAAGTAAAGTTACCAGACGCTGCGCACAAGATTTGTTGTCTTTGTAATGCTGCTTGAATGTTATTGTAAGATAATTTCTCAGGTAAAGGATGATTGATAAGGGTCCATGAACCAAACTGACAATCAATATATCAAATGAATGCTATGATTACCCGTTTCTCACCTCATCCAGATAGGTGCAAGTATTTTGATATTCACACATAACGCTGAATTCGTTAAATGTATATTTTAGGAAATACTCAAACTTTTTTGTCCCAATGGCCAAAGGTAAGTTAATCGCCAACAATCCTCCTACAATACAGTTTAACCTTTGTCTATTGTTGGTATAGAATCAAAATGGACGTACAGTATTTGAGTATAGCTACCAATAGAGTGTGATGTAAATTACTGAATTATCGAATACGCAAACTTTTAAACAAATTCAAACTGATAGGATGACTATCTCAGTGAGACAAATTCTGTGAATGTCTCATATTCAACCATGTTTTTTAAAAAGTTTTAATTGTTCGAGTAGTCGAGAGGTTATAGCTCATGCTTTCAAATCTGATAGTCACTGCTTTGATTCCAAGCAAGATCGCTACCAGATCCAGATGACATTTGTCATTGAGATATCCATTAATGATACTTTCTATCAACAGGTTGAGGTTAGTAACAAGACCAGGGTTTTTACCGTTCCCTTGAAAAAAAATCTATAAATGCCACCGATGTTGATAGACACAATAACAAATAAGCTTGAGCTGGCCTATATAGAAGGGTTGTCTAACAGAATTGCTGATAATTACCTGATTTGGTCTACAATCTTGGAGTCAAGTGTATAACTACTACAGATTACACAGGTGCTTTATGTTCACAACCATTGTGCAAAAGACTTAACTATGCTAAGTCTGGTCAACGACTGGGCAGTTACAGTGTCCTCTCTTCCAGGAGACAGCACTATAGATCGAGGGTTTGTGTTCCTTCTAGCTCTGGTTTTATGTCAACTCATGACTCGAACGGCAAAGCTTTTATAGGAGAGGCTCGCCTAAAATAAACAGTGTACTTGAAGGTGGGGATACTTGAAAAGGGTGAAGAATGAAATCTGGTATAAGCAATAGATACAATTTTATTCCAACTTATTGCAATGGATCATGCTTATCAATCATCCTCTCGTGTTGTGTAATTAATGTTTAAAAGGATCTGTTTTTTAATAAAAAAATGTTATATCTTCCTAGAGTTATTATACCCTAACCAAGTAACTATAAGGTAGATATAAGACTTAAATAATCCCAATTCTGTAGACTTTGTAACATTATTTAGCAAGTTATATGGATCGGAATGGAAAACTTGGAAGTTTTTCAGCACATAGTCAATATACTGCTGGCCACAAGACTCACAAGAGAAACAACAAACACCTACACTTGCAACCATCTTAAAAGGTATCTATGGAGCATACAACTGAACAAAAACATCTGAAATCCATTTGACTTCCCTACCAAACCTTACAATACTACAGTATTTATCTTGGGCTTTGGGGTTTTCTCTATTGTTGGAGTGGCCGGCTGTTAGATCTGTTGGGCAGTCTTGGTTGTCTCTGCCAAACGTCAGCTGTGCTCTGTCTGTAGATTAGGCATTTGGAGTCTTTCTTGGACTGGTCTGGTGAAACCATAGATAAAAGGACTAGACACTCCTACTCCTTTTATCTACATGAAACTCACAAAGAAAGCTCAGCTGCTCTCATCTTGGATTATTACCTTACACTGTGTGTAACCTTTGAAACTTTGTTTTGAAGAATTCGTTTTTTATGTTCATAATGTGGGTAAAACAAAAAGTTTCTTGTGCTCAAAGAATTTAGAGAGGGGTGCACTCATGTTTATGTCAAATTAGTAAGAACAACCACAAATAACTATATTTAAAATTGAATTTATAGTAAGAATAAATCTGTCAAAAAAGATAAAAATAACAAATCCCAAATCAATTTTTATGATTCTTATCATGATAAAGCTTAGTGATATTCAACAACACTACCGGTACCTTAATTGTAAACTGAAATGATTTTTTTGAAGTTATGGAACAAACAAGAACATAAATTAATTATAGAATTGAACAATCTTCTGATGGCCTTTGACTAATGATAAATGTGGAAGGTCAATGTAGAAAAGCAAGGTTGTCACAACTGAGTCACATCTGACTAAGGACAAAAATATTTACAGCTGGAGGGAGCTGAGCAGCTGACAAATAAAATCATGTGTTTTTACTAACTGTACAGTACAGACACGGACAGCACAGCTGATCATTATTCCAAGAAGTTGCAGTTCCTTCCATTGTTCCATTCCATTGCCATTCATTCCAATCCAATCCAACCAAGTTCAAGCTACATCAACATCACTTCTGTTGACTTCACCAACATAACCCTGAATTTGATTGATATTCGAAGTAAAAAACTGTTTATTCATTGATTCATGCATTGTGTTAGTTTGTTATCTACAACTGGCTTTTTGTTCTAAATTGTCAGAAACAATACAATGGTGCACTTTATGTGGATTTCGTCTTGAATTTTGAGCCATTGTTAAGGTTATAGTCTAGTCATTGTATCTACTGAACAACCCCAACAGTTAACTTAACTCATGTAAGTAAAAACTGCTCTAACTAAAAAATAATTTTGTTTGATTATCAACGAAATTATTAGGCCTATGTCCACTTATGATTAGTGACTTCATAGCTAACTTACATAGGCTTCTACTTCTTTCAGAATGTTATATTTATAATGGTTTAAATACCTGCATTCAGTAGGCCTAATCCAATATGCTGCTTCTGAATTCAAGAGATTCAAGAGATTTATTATACCATTAAGTAAATAAATACAATAGGTAACGTCAAACTATTCTAAAATAAAACAAACCAATGCATATAAATAATGAAATGTTCATCATTACAACCATGCTGAAATAAAAAATGGTTAATTAATCTTCACAGCAAACAAAACAGCAAACCATGCAGTTATGGCAAACAAAAGAAAATGAAAATTGTGACACATACCTGAGTGTAAAAATAAAAATACAAACTAAAAACAATGGCCAGCCTTCAGAGCATCAAAAAATTCTTTAGTTTCATAAAAAGGATTCGTTTCAAGCCAATCTTTTACAATTTTTGTAAATTTTGACTTCGGCAATGACCGTAAACTTTCCGGGAGAACATTGTAAAACTTTTTGCCTGTAACAGGAAAACAGTTATTAGTTTTACTCAATCTATTGCTACTTAAATGTACATTGTTTCTATTTCTTGTAAAATATGAGTGGACATCCTTGTTACAAACCAGATCTTCTTCCATGTCCTTAATAGCTAACAAAGATTGATAAATATATACATTTACAACGGTCATAATACGAAGTTCAGCGAACAAATGCCTACAATGCTCCAGATAATGAACCTGACATATTATTCGGATAGCCTTTTTTTGATGGAGCAGTACTTTCTGAGCATGCGGGGAGTGACCCCACAGGAGCGTGCCATATACAATATGGGACTGGAAAAAAGAAAAGAAAGCAGGTATTTAAACCATTATAAATATTCAAACGTAATCCGGAGGCTAACAACTCTTAAAAATGAAATTAGAATGTTATAGCCTAATAAGTGTTAAGATGTTACCTTCTAAAAGAGATGGGTTGAAATATATCTTCGTACCGTAGGGCCTATCATTATAATTTGGGGTACTGTTTCTTAACTGGGCTACGCTAATATTGATTGAAACTATCAAATTGAAAATCTTGATGGTAAATAATCTATATTTAAAAATACTGTAGGCCTATATCTAATATATAATTAAATTATCATAACCTAACCAACGAAACTTGCTGATTGGGAAAAAATCGCATGAAGGTTTAATAATCAAATCGATAGTTTCAACAAATATTAGCGTAGCCCAGTTCAGAAACTGTGTACCCATAATTTGAGTTGGCTACAGTTAAATACATCTGGGATCTCTCAGTGTATTGTAACTTAAATATATGAAATTAAGTTAGCTCTTCCAACAATTTTCATGTTAAAACAACTATAACCTATTTATTCCTAACTTATAGGATTAGCGAGTCAAATTTGAGTTGGTCAGCAATTCAATTCTAAGACAGTAGAGCACTCGCTAATAATTCTGACAAAGCCTAACTTATAGGCTATTCATCTGTAGCCTGTTTAGGCCTATAACTTCTCATTTAGAGGAAAACTTTGGCCGCCAGGGAAATCAATAAGTTACAGGCCTAGAGTATCAACATTCATGAAATAGGTTGGGGTATCCCTGCTGGTGCTAGGTAACATTACCTATAGCCTATTAGTAGGCCTGTACAAACAGTTGAACCTAGACATTTTATCTAACCTCAAGATAACTATATTAAGTTACCTTCTGAATATGCTCTTAGACTGGGTAGGACTTAGACCCGAGGCACAAAAATTTTCATGTTTTTTCAAGAGACAGACAAATTAATAAGTTAAATGAATGAGTCAATTTTGATTAAGTTAAATGCTGGAACTTGTTGGATTTATGAAACTTAATTATTTGTCCAATTAGTAGCCTATTAAGCATGGACACCAGATCTCTACGTAGAGAACTGGAAATAAACATTTGATTCTTGATTCGTTGATTTAAAACATTCTTGAAGAGTGACTGGGCAAAATTGGTCACTATTATAAAAATCTAAAAAATCTAGGCTTTATACACCCACTCCCTGGTACGGTGAGTGTTTAGAGTATGAGAACGGGTAAGTAGTTAGGCCTAAGTCTTATAAGTTAGCAAAATTAATTGAAGACATACAGATCTACTTTATTACATTCATAATCAACTATTGTAGTCTGACTTATCAACCACTATGTTTGCAGATAAAATGGACATTGTTGGCAAACCAGTTTCCGCTCTAAAAGTATTTATCAACAGCTGTGCAGGCCAGAGAGAACCTTGGGAAATCGTAACAATCACTACAACATCGGTGCTGGCAGCTGTTTGGTTCTGGCAGTTTGTTTTTCAAGAAGAAAGTAAGCATTTTTGTTCTTAATTTAAATTTAAACCAAATTACTATAAATACCTACTGAATAGAGTCCAACGTAGTTTTTAATACTAAAATAATCATCTAATGGACATCACATTCTTCTGAGGCTTTAGAAGAAAAGAGATAAAAGCATTTCTGTCAAATCAAGCACTGTTTGAGATTTACCAGTCTTATTTACCAACTCTACTATAACTTACAACTGTGTGTCTTTTCAGGCGTCCATGTTCGTGCCAAAAAAGCATTTTTCAAACTTTTGAGAAAGGTTCCTGCAGTAAGAAATAAGTTGAAAGCAGAAATTGAGAAAATATCGGACAAATTTATGGAGGACGCTGAGAAGCGTGTAAAGGACATTCCATTCGTCCTTTGTCTTCCGGACAAAGGTGCCAAGGATGAAGAGGTGCTTAGATGTGTAGAAAAGTGCGTAGAATTGGGTAAGTTAATTTGTACCGAGGGGTTTTCACTGTTACGATGTGGTGTAGTTCTTGTTTGCTTGATTGTTTCTCAAGATCAATGTTCCTCTCAAAATTGACATTTCATTTTTTTCTTTTTCATGTGTTTTGACAAAAAAGCTAACTTTTACTCAAACAAGAAGTTCTTGATAGAATCTCAGGTTTAATAAGCTCTAATTTTTGATAACCGAGAGGATTAGTTTTCCTTTAGCAGTGCTAGCCGTTCATCATAGATTAAACCTCCATAGGGGGAGCGTAGGGCATGATTGATTTAAAATGGGTTTAGTATCAGTTACCAATGCTGTTCGCTATGGTACAAGAAGACAAAAAATTTACACTATTCACAAAAACTAGATTATTGAATTGCCTCTCCTCTTTTAGACTCCCAGGCCACCGTTGGACATAAAGACACACACCTCTTCTTGGCTTTAAAACTACAATAATTTTGTAAATTCTGCTAGTTACAGTGATATATTCTAATTTTTGTGTTTCTTGTACCAGAGTGAACTGCTTTCCATTTAGGTAGGACTAAGTTTGTCTTGTCGTCTGAGATATATTTCCAGTTATCTGCTTTACCTTACTAAGCACAAAATAACCTTTCTTGATTCCACCGAATTGTTAAGCCTAAATATTATTTTGTATTGTTTTTAATGGTAAGGGTAGCACAAAATATCTTCACAACTTATAACCTCTGCTTACAAAAGTTTGTTGTATGTTTAAGCTGCACTTAATGTCTTAAAATGGCAACGGTAAGTACATTTACAATGCAATCTGGCACAATGGAATTAATAATTTTTAACTGCATACTGGAGTTTACAATTTTCACGTGTTTTGTGTTGCATTTTCAATGTATTCTAATCCTAAATTGATCATTCTCTTTACAGAATTGCTATTGCAATTTTATTCAATCGTATTTAGCCTACACATATGACAACTGGTGAAGGTTAACTAACACATGTTTAATTAAATATTAAATTGCCAGAGTTGATCTATGAGTCACTGTTAAACTGTGGTAGTTAAATAGTTATGAACTCTCGCTTAAACCAACAAACCATCTAAAACTGACTTAACTGGATCACATCCATGAAAAGTATTGTAAATATCGATAAACAATGGTAAAATAAATGTAATAATAAGTGTATCTTTTTGAGAGTGCTACTTGTATAAATTTCCTACCAGATGTTTTATGACGTAGTGTTTCCAACCTTGAGTTCTATAATATGTAGCCTACTCTTTCCACCTTGAGTTTTATAGTACAATCTATATATTTCCAATGTTTATCTATGCTGAAAACGTAATAGATGGGTCGCTGAGTTGATATTGTGCTCGCCAAGTATTCAGAAGGTTGCCAGTTCGATCCTGAGAAAAGTCAAAAGCTCTTTGGTGGTTCAAAACTCAACCTAGCTTTTCTTGATTATTACGATTATCCTGGCTCAACCATCTGATCTAAGTCAGCAATTAAACGGGGTTTTCATTCATCCTTCACTCATTTTTGACTTCCCATAGGCTGTATATGTGAACACGGGTTTCGGTGTGATATAAATATACCTAACCTAATCTACATTTACTAGCTCGAAGTTCTGTAGCGCTTTTTCCATGCACCTATACTTTATTTGTACCAATTGTGAATTCTACGTTGTAAGTTCCTCTTGCTATGCAGGTGAGTTTGACTGGAAGCACGGGTTCGTGTCTGGCGCAGTGTACTTCCAGAGCCAACCGTTGTTGGACCTAGTGTCCAAGGTTTACGGTCAGACGTCGTACACAAACCCTCTCCATCCAGACGTGTTCCCAGGCATAAACAAGATGGAAGCCGAGGTGGTTAGGATCACCGCCCAGCTGTTCCATGGCGGACCAAACTCCTGTGGGACTGTGAGTATATCAAGATTCATTCTTTTTCTAGCTTGAAATACTGAGGACGTTCTCACTAGTGTTATTTTACTAATCAAGTCACCCTAATGCAGTAGTTTCATTACAGATGACCAGTGGGGGTACAGAGTCGATTCTGATGGCTTGCAAGGCGTTAAGGGACTTTGCCTACCACGAGAGAGGGATTAGGCGAGGAGAGATTGTGTTGCCGAAGACAGCTCACCCCGCCTTCGACAAGGCAGCTCAGTACCTGGACATGAAGATCACTTATGTACCTGTCGACCCGAAAACATGCACTGTGGACATCAAACAGATGGAAAAAGCAATTTCTAAGAATACGGTTATGGTTAGTTTTAATTTACACTGCAGGCCTTTGTAGGCCAATTCTAGGTTGTTTGTAGATGTGCTGTAAGTTTCAATGAGGATACATTGTAGTAAAACCTCATAGGTATTAGTTACCTGTGTCATAGTTATGAGGTAAGGTAATTAGATATAGCCTAGCTCATTAATTAAGTACTCAAAACTCAAAATTGTGTTTGGTATTCAAAATTTTAAGTATTTTTGTTGCACTTGCTCCAATGAATCTTGACCAAGATGAAACAATATATTTTATATTTCACAGCCATACATCATAACCTGCTTCTGTGTAGTTGGTGGGCTCGGTGCCGAACTACCCGTATGGAACATCGGACGACATGGAGGCGATCGCTGCCCTCGGACGCAAATACAACATTCCCGTCCACTCAGACTGCTGTCTCGGTGGCTTCCTCACAGCTTTCATGCCGTCAGTTGGGTATCCCGTTGCTCCCTTCGACTTTGCTGTTGACGGCATCGTCAGTATATCTGCCGATACTCACAAGGTAGGCCTATAATTACCTACTCTGTTATAGTGTATCATCCTTTTAGCTTCCTCCTAAGGTAGGATTTGGAAAAAAAGTGTTGAGTTTGTGTTTGAAATTCAGTAAAGGTTGAACTTAACAGAACTAATTTGATCTTGTTTTGGATTTTCATATTTCAAGGGAAAGTCTATTGATGATGAAACTTTTTTGGAAAGGGGTTGAGTTAAGCTTGAGAAGATGAGAATCCAGGGAGAGTCTTATAGATACATAAAAAGGTAACACATCACAAAGATATTTTTCCTAGTGAAGGACTTGTTCTGATAGTGGATTGGTGAAAATTTGAGATTATGGCTGGATAGTAGAACAGATTAAATAAATGTCTCGTCAGTCTATACTAAAAAATATCATATATTTTAAGAGGGATTATCATTGTGTTGTTTATTTGACCTTTTTTGTGTATCACAGTGCTCATGGACTCTTATCTTCTCATGTTTAAAATAGGTAGCTAAAACTCTTTATTCTATTCTAAATAAACTATACTCTATTGGATTGTAATTTTTTTATTTGTTCAGGCAGTTCTCAGAGTTAAACCTAAATACTTGTATTGTAATAAAAAGAGTTCCTCAAGTTACATTTAGTAAATAACTCAATTAAGTGACATTGTCTTTCCTAAACGATCACCGGCGTTCCGCTAACAAGTGGGTCCAAATTGTTGATGGTGTGTTTATTTGTGGTTTGCTGTGATGTTGCAGTATGGGTACACACCGAAGGGATCCTCAGTGGTGTTGTATTGTGATGAGAAGTACCGTAGTTACCAATACACAGTGACTACAGACTGGCCCGGTGGAGTATACGGGTCACCCACTGTCAACGGGTCCAGACCCGGTGGTAAGTTCATCTAGATTTCCCTAACGCAACACACTTTCCATCATTTATTTATTTTTACGGCAAACACCATTTTTACAATCGTTTTACATCGTGATACATGCGACAAGATGCTTATTACATGCTGATAAATGTTGTACAGATACATCAGTGATACATGCAAAGATTAAAATGAAAAGATGAAAAACATGTTCAATGAAAATGACATGCAGTTGTGACAATTGAAGAGTGAAAGTTGAATTAACTTGGTAATCATAATAATTAAGTAACATGCTCAGCGAATAACAGACTATAACTATAGGAAACAATAACTAATAAAATATATAACATGCTTGGCGATAAATAATCTATAACTAGTTTAACAATAATAATTGGCAACAACACTGACAGTTGGATAGATGCAATACGGAAACGAGTAATAGTGATAACAATAACAGACTAGAAATAGATAACAGTAATAATGAATGAAAAATGTGTGAAATGAGTGATAAAATTTATAAAAAAGATAACAAAAGTTAGACTCTGATGCGAACAGCAGATAAATCAAAACAACCCCCCCCCCCCCCCCCGCCCCACAATCATAGTTGGCAACTGGTTAGTTGTCAAGAGCAACTGGTTACTTTTAGGGCATCTACGACAAAGTTGCGTTGATTTAGGAAGTCTTGATTTGAACAAATGTAATTGTAACTTGTAACCCTGCAATTTGCTTATGTATAATATTTTATAGGCCTATGATCTCCCCTATATTGCGGAGAAGTCGCGAACAGCTTTTACGGTCACAGTGAAATCTAGAACATCTTCTGTTGGTCTTGATGAAATTAAAAACATAATTTCACGGTCTTAGCAAAATTGTTGGGTAAAATAATATTATCTAGTTAACAGCTTGAGGTTTTCTTAAAAAATTGAAAGTTAATTTAGGGATTAGATCTTTCATGATTAAAAAATTTTACTAGGTTTTCCAAGGAGTTTATATATTATATATTTGAGAACCCTAAAAAGCTACTCAAGGGTACTATTGTTTTCACCAAAGTAACTATGAGCCTTTTATTATGTGGATATTATAACAACGTATTATGATTCTGAACAGTGTTTTTATCAAGTGATAGTGGTGGTACTCTCATGTTTTAAAACCTTTTCAAATAAATAATTAAGTCTAGTGGTGTTTGAGTATTTACTCTGGAGTTAAGTCAAGAGATATGGTGTTAAGATGTACATAGTTTTAGATGATGTAACACCAACTATTATTCTGGTACTCATAACATCTTTTTGTGTTGGATTATGTTATCCATAAGGGAGATTCATCAAGGAATCAATTGTAAATTGATTTACACTATCTAAAAGCTTGAAACTTAAGCTCACTATCTAACAAAATCTTTCTTAAAGAACCAGTTATTGCAAAATTAATACACTTGATTACTTTGGTAATATCTCCGTACTTTTGAAATATTTTATCTTTATTTAATATATTATTTTTAAGTTTTAATTTGTATTTGGTCCCTTCACAGGTTTAGGTGGTTATAGGGGAAGTGCCTCTACTACTTTTTTTGCTTAATTTATATGAATGAAATTTATTGGCACAAAACATACAGAATGATACATGATGTATGTACAGGTGTTTTGTCATAAATCAAATCGTCCTTATAAAAGTCTATCTTTCCTTCTAGGTTAAATACATTTTTAAATCGTTAACAAAAAATAGACTATGTTTTATAAATACTACTAAAATTCAACAGTTGAATATACCAAAGGGGAAATTTAACAGTAATTATAACAAAGGATAAAACTAAGCTTACAACTACTTAACATGGTCTTAATTTAAATAACAATATAAAACATTTAACTATCAATGTTTTAAAGTGGATTTTTGTTCAGTCAAAGCTATGGTAAGTAGGCATCCAAGGCTATCATATCACTTTTCAGAATCATTCAAAAAGTCGTTAACTTTGTAATAGGCCTTTCTAATCAACAAGCTTTTCACCTTCTCTGAAAATTGTATTGGGTTGAGGGTGTAACTTTGCATAGGGTTAGGCAGTTTATTATAAAGTTTCATTCCCATAGTAAATGCTTTTCTCTAAATTTGTCGTGGAAATATGTTGCAGCTGATAGAAGTTATTTAAACCTCAGCTGTTGAGCTATTGTTTTTTTTTTAGCGAATTTCCCTATAGGGAAGTAGCTATTACCGTAGGTCTCATGGTAAGACCTAAGCCCGGGACCGATTTACTTTTTCATTTTGATGTCCCCAGAGGCCAAAAACACCATTCGTTCAAATTTTTATATATCTATATATAGAGATATATATATATATATATATATATATATATATATATATATATATATATATATATAGATATATGTGTCCATCCGCACGATAACTTGAGTAATTTTTGTCCAATTTTGATAAAATTTGGTTTGAAGGTGTAAGGCGGGATAAACTTGAATGAGTTCGCGAACCAGCATGATCGGACTATGGGAACGGGGGTTTATGGGGGGTTTTATGGGGTAAAAATAGGGTTTTCCCATTTTTTACCCTAAAAACACAAAAATTTCACAATTTCTTTTGAAACCATTTTGTAGAGCTTAAAAAAACAAATAATTTAGTATATTGAAGCGTTATTATGCGCCTAATTGTTATGGAGAAAATTCAAAAAAATTGTAATTTTAAAATTCCCATGTTATTCTTATGGAGAATAAGTCAACTGTTGTAGTTTGCTTGTTTATAAACATATTTTGATCGATTTTGGAAAATATTTTTATTTCTTACTAAACTATTATCATTTTATAAAAAAAATCTTTTTTACCCTCCCTGTTGCAGCAAACCTAAGTACTCGTTAAACTAATTCTATTTAAATCTATATAAATAAAATTAGAGTTTTGTCTGTACATTGCTTAGAATAATGAACTTTTTGGTTATTTTTACATTTCATAGGTCAGAGAAACCGAATCAAACCTTATCTCAATTTCTGTCTGTCTGTCTGTCTGTCTGTCTGTCTGTCTGTCTATCTGTCATTCTCTTGGTAACGCTAAAATACGCACTTTATTACAACTACTCCTCAATAACTATAGCACTGTCCCGCCTGAAACTTATTTTCCAAATACTATACATATATGAGATGGTTTTAGACGTATTTCATCGAATATGAGACAGTTAGATATTTAACAGTAAACCCTTGAAAATCAAGTTTTTGTCGATTTTTGACGTGGAATTTCTGGAAGCCCATGTTAACCTTATGAGAAATGAAATTATTGAATCTTAACAGCTGTTTCAATTAAACAAGTTGGTTCTGTTCTGTGATGTTCAATAGCATTAAAGTTACAAGGATTACCAACAGGGTGCAGCACTAGCACTATTATTTCTTTTACATTTATGACAACAGCTAATTTGCAACCTGGAGGCGAGTGAGCGTAGCGAACGAGCTAACCTGAAGGCAAGTGAGCGTAGCGAACGAGCTAACCTGAAGGAAAGTGAGCGCAGCGAACGAGCTCCAACATACAGGTGAGTGAGCGTAGCGAACGAACTTCAACCAGGACGTGATTGAGCCATGCAAACGAGATCAGATAGTAAAAATAAAAGTAAGCCTACCGTTATAGGATCGACCGGCAGACACAGAGGTAATTTAACCTTTTATTGATTGTCATACCGATCCGGAACAACAAAAAACAACATAAAATGAAGCTATGTATAATAGTTTGGCCAGCATATCTTAAAATATGCAAACCAACTGCTGTTCTTTATATAAGAAGGTTTCAACTGAATATTATAAGATCCCCGTGCGTAGAACGGGTACACAGCTAGTAGGAAATAAATGTGCTATTTTTATGGAGGCATTTTAGTGTAAATCCAATCAGGTTAATGGAAATTCGCTTAGTCTGCAGGTTTGCTGCGGCGGGGGTATTTTAAAGTTAGGGTCAAGTGGGGGAGATAGATTTAGATTTCTTCTCCTAAAACCGCTTAAATTTTCTGAACAGAGTATAGTTGTAGTAATTTTGTTACCGTCCTGTGCCTCCAACAAGGACTTTGGATTTATTTTGTTTTGTTGAGTTATCACTTGCGGAGTGAAGCAAATAAAAATTTTGTTTGGGTAATCAGCTGTTTTTCAAAAACAAATTCAAGATATTTAATTTTTTACAATAGTTTTTATTTGTTCTAGGCACAATAGCAGTTACATGGGCCTCAATGATGCATTTTGGATTGGAGGGCTACAAAGACGCCACGAAGAAAGTCATCTCTACATCGAGACATCTTGAAAAGAAGTGAGTTACTTCATCACATTTTCCTTTAAATTTTATCCCACAGCAGTTCAAGGGACATTTGAAAACACTCGGGAGCTTTTTCAATTTAAGACAGATTTAATTCTACCTAGAATATTTGAGTACCGAGGTTTTTGCTAGGAATCAACTGTAAGATTCAAACAAGCCACTCTTGGACTACAATCGTACTCTTATATATCTTATATATCTTACAAGAAATGACCTATCGATGATTACTTCTCTAAGATTGTGATGTACTTTGCGCTCATATTTTTAGCTGAATATGAATACGCCTAGTGAATGTAGAAAGGAGGGGATGATATGTGTAGTTTCGTTACTAAAATCAGATGTTTCTTTAACCAGCATCATTATCAAAAGCCATTGCTCAAGGAAAGCTTGGTTCTGTTTTGAACCATCAAAAGGCAGCTGATTTTTCTCATTGGTCTACAAAATTGTTATGCTAGCCCTATTACCAACCATTCAGCTATTCAATTACATGTATAAGTTAATTTGTTTTTTCTAAATGTCACTAAAACAGTATGTGAAAGTGCTATTAGTTTTTTTTTAATTTCCAGGTTGCGAGAGATTGAAGAACTGACATTATTCGGTACTCCTGCAACGTCAGTTGTGGCATTTCGCTCTGAAAAGTTCCATATTTACAAATTGGCAGAAATTCTTAAATCCAAGCAGTGGAATATAAATTCACTGCAGTTTCCGCCTGGGTAAGTGTTTCCAAGTTTTTACTTAACTAAAACGTAAAACGTACGTGCTCACAGTAATGGTAAGTCGGTAGTGTCACGGCCTTCGGGCCCAAGGCAGCGATGTCGTGGGTTCGGATCCTGGTCACTGCCGAACATTTAATCAGTACAGTTCACCCCTGTACTGTACCGGCTCACCCTTTGCTTTGCTGGATACGTTCCACACACGGGCAGTTCGTGTATTTGGACGGGCAAATGCAAGGTTAAAAGAGGCAGCCAACCTCTTGTTGGTTGAGGTTTTGAAGGGAATTCGCTAGAACATATTGTTGCTTATGATTTGTAATAGACAAAACCAAAGATAAAAAAAATGAAATCCAAATCCAAATGCAATTTGTAGATATTAGGCCTATATTGTAGGTCCTGCTGTGAAATTTTATTTGTATTGTTAATTTTCTTTACTTTGAAACAATTCTTAACTTTACAAAACATTTTCAAAACTGTACTTGCCAGAGTCTCAACAATGTCATGATTTATCTCATGCAATCATGTCACTTCCGTCTGGAAAACGGAAATAAAAATGTCTTTTAAGTATAGAATTTAAACGTTCATACATTACCTACTTTTACTACTTAATAAAAGTCCATAGGTTTAGATAGCGCAGGCAAACTGCAGGTTAACTATTTTTATGCCTTTTGAGATTAAATCCATCTTTTCAATTTTCTTGAGACTTGGTATATTAAATATTTGGTTTTTACTACTAATTTGAACTATAGAGTGAAATATCCCTAGAATTAAGATAATATTATTAATTGACATTGAAATTTCTCTACTTACAGATATAAAAGATATGTCTAATAACACTTATAGCCTATTTACGCTTAAACTGTTAACTCACAAGACGGTAAATATACATAGATTGTAACTGGTGATCGATTTTGATAGTGGCATTTTGCTCTGAAAAGTTCCATATTTACAACTTGGCTGAGATTCCCCTAAGAAAACATTCATCTATTGGGTATCGATGAATGGAGTGCCCAATCAAAATCAATCATTACTAAACTTTACCATCTTGTGAGTTAGCTGTAAAATCGTAAATATATTTTTGAGTGTTATTGGACGTATCTTTTATTTACTTTCCGTAGATAACACGTACAGTACTGATCAAGAAGTTATTTATTTCTCTACGACTTTTGTGTGTTTTCTCAACAGCATCCACATGACAGTGACCGTCATGCACACTGTGGATGGTGTCATTGATCGCTTCGTGGAGGACGTCAAGCTAGGAGTGCAACAAATTATGACATCAACTGATCTTCAAGAGTTGACCAAAGGAGGAGAGGTGAGAGGGCAAATGTTTATGAATTTTGTTTTGAGGCAATGATTGATATTTTAAAGTGAAAAATTTAGAGAATTTTTTTGTGCAAGTCATTTATTTTTCTGATAGGTAGCTTCAGTGGAAAAAATTATCTTGAAATTATAGAGTTCCTATTCTAATAGTTCTTTTCATATAAGTGTGATTTATTTTATCCGATATGTGGTCAGCTTATTCTTCAGAAGATAAGAAATCTTCAGGTTATAGCATTATCACAAAGTAAATTGCCATTTTGATCTCGATCACAGTACTATTATTACCATTACATGCCTTGTGTAGCTTTGCTAGTTCTACGACAGAGAAGGTACAGAGGAAACGCTAAATGGTACGCTTGAGTGGTGTCTAGGGCAAAGTCCAACACCACCTTCCTCGCCCTCATATATTACAACAGAGGAGGAAGATCATGTGCGTTGAGCGATAAGAATTTCCGTAGAGTGCTTGCCGTTCGGGCTCTTCCTTGGTCGTCGCAATTATATTTCTGACACAACATCCTAGTGCTGAAACGCTGAAAGCACATGATCGTCTCATAAGCGATTTTCCTTAGTACCTTTTTTCTCTGTGTTGCTACTGACTAAGACCAGTGGGAAAAAACTTCTTTGAACAATTTACTTCAATGAAACATGAATATATTATCATTATAAGTAGTAGGCGGGTTTGGTTTCCATACGGTAAAAATTGCTACATTTATAATAGGTTCTGATTCTACTAACGAATGTCCATAATGAGAGAAATTTCAAAAGTTTACTTATTACATTCCAGATTTTTTCATCTTGGTCTCTTCTGACCTCCCATTGTTAGGGTCTTGAAAATTGACCCCCCCCCCCCCCAATATTTGTGGGCACCCTGAAAGAGCCGAGTTACTACTCGTATTTTTTTACAAATGAAACTTCTAAATTTTACTTAACAGGATAAAAAACGAATACAATGTTATTTTGTAGATGGCGCTGTACGGTATGGCCCAGAGTCTACCAGATCGTACGATAGTTGAGGACATCACTTGTGCGTGGCTCGACTCGCTTTACTTCACACCGAAACAATCAGAGAAGCATAGCTCTCAAAACGGCCACATCTAGTCAAAGCAACGGATCTTGAACTGTAGTTGAACTTGAATACCATTTGTGATACCACATCAACGTTAATCTTAAGTACAAGCTACATTTAAGTTTATTTTTGTATGTTTTACTCATATTGTATTTTTATAGGTGGTTACACAACACCACCAGCCATATTGTATTTTAATATTGTATTATACTCGTCTCAGAAATATATTAATGTTGATCGTGACATGTATTCTGATAATTAGTTCCTGTGTTTGACACAGTTAATTACAGTGGACTTTCTCTTGTTTAAACACCTTAGTTTTGGACTCTTGCCTAAAGAATGAAAAAAGTCTGAGCTATCAGTTATGTCACAATCACAATGAATGGATTCGTTCAAAAACCACTTTACTTATTCTTAATAGTGCAAAATTGGCTAACTACAAACATCAAATTTTGAAAACTGATATACAGGGTGAGAGGCAGACCCGTACACATACTTTTACGGCCGAAAGAAAATTAAAAAGAAAAACTAAATTTTCCCCTATAAAATGCATGTTAACTGCATTACTAAACAATAGGCCTACATTTTTTTTTAGTTTTAGGCTTTGGAAAGTAACATGCACTTTAAATGGGAAAATTTAGTTTTTGGTTTATTACAAACACTTAAATACAAAAAGAAATAGACAGTAGGTGTAAATTGGAAAGTTGTTATCTTAACAATACGTTTAAATATGCTATTTTACATATGTTGCCATTAGATCTTTTTGATTTACAGGGCTACCAACATTACAAAAAAATTAAGTTTTGGTTTTGGAAGTATAGTTTCTTCAAGCTATTTGCTATCTACCTTTCTTTGTTGACATAGCAACGGACAAAGTTAACAACATATAACAGCGACTAATGTATGTATGTGAGGCAAACACCGCCGATCGAGCAATCTGAAGTAAATCCACATGACTTCTTTCTTTAAAACCTCAATTTCAAACGTGCCTTGGTAGATGATAGGTTTTTACCGTCATCTTGAACATGGCTTAGAAGATTCAGCCATTTACTTGCTAATGAACATTTTAAACATGCACTAACATAGCCGTTTACTCGAGGCCAGTATGTAGACAGGATATGAGGGGGTTAACTGTTTTAGTGTACTTCGATTTACCTGAGGCACAATCTTCCCGCCGACTGGCTTCGTGTGATACGGCTTATGGATGCATACAAGTTATTTAAGATGATATTATTTTAGTTCATCGACAGTATAGACCATTAGGTCATTTTGATATTTTTAACCCTTGTTTGAGGCGGAACCAATGTGAAGTGAACAAATGGGTACCTTGTTTGAGATTATTTACAATCATTTTACGTTTTTCAATTAATATTTCCATGCCGATGCCAGATTATTCAAAGCAAATTGGGATTTAAATTTAAAGCCCACATACTTTGACAATTGGCTAAATAGGTTGAATATGGCCAAGTAACATCATTAACACATCATTCACACACTCATTAACATCATTAACACCGTCAACAAATAGTAATGTATTTATTTATATAATTACATAAACTTAAAAGCAAATGACTTGAAACATGTAAACATCTAATGAAAATGAACACTTTAAACTTAATGTCAAACAAGAAACTTATATCTAACAAAGTAGAGGAACTATAGATATTTATTCACAAAGAGAAACTTAATATCGGTGAGATAAAGTTCAAACAACTTTTTTTTACACAACTTACATGTTACTAAAGATACAAAATAGTACAAAATGACTTAAATTATTATTCCTAAAAACCCTTTAATACTTGGTGACTCAACTTTATGAAGGCAACAACATGATATAAAAATATGTCGGACTATTTCCATTTGCAACAGTTTCAATTGTTGCTCTATACGATTTGGCATTTTTGAACGTTTTTACATACTAAGGCACTTAAGTACATACAATTGGCACTGTGGTCAGAGGCTGTCATAATCTGGAACAAAATCAGTTTATTATTAGTAATTTACTGAAATAGTTAGTGATACATGCTGCCAACAATCTTAACATGTTTGCGGCGTCACATCAAATGGCGGGCGTATCCCCAGTGCGGTGCAGCCCGCAGCGTCAAACAAACCCGATTGCCGCGTGTGACTGGCTTTCCAATTTCGGTCTGACGAAAAGCAAATAACGTGCGTGGATGTCCTGCTTTAAGACGAGAGTCGACGTAGTTCGCTAAACACTAACAGATAGCAGCACTACTTGTAACTTAGCCGGTCCCATTGGAATTGTATTGCCAAATGGAGGGAAAAAGGCGGGACAAAAAGTAGAATTTTGAGATTGCTAGAGGGGGATTTTCGGGGAAATTTACTACCAACCTACACCACAACAAAATACAGTATACTATTGAGCAGTGCTGTGCGAGGTTTCAAGTTTCTAGCTCTAATCCTGGCTTAAAAATAAATCATTTCGTACTGCATTGCAGCTTGGGAGCGGACGCACCCACCAGGATGGCATTAGGGTTCCGTGTGGGAGCGATCGCTCCCATGCCGCCGCGAACGTGTTAATACATAGTTGTAACTCCGTAACTAAATCCATAGAATGTTAAATCTAGTTCTCGGGTGATGACCTTAGAGTAAAACTAGAGGCTGACGTTTTGGATGCGTATCAACTATCCATCTTCGGAAAAAACCTACTATTCAACTAAAGAGTGTCATGCACGTTGTTATAGGATTGGAGGTGGGGGTGATGAAAGTATGTGGAGTTTAGTAGAACATTCTATTTTGTTAATTGTTAGAATCCTTCGAGCTTAAGCATAAACTACTCCTTCACTACATGGATGACACCTTCGTCATATGGCTTCATGGCTTAGATTCACTGCAGATATTTTTTCTCACCTGAATTCCTTACACAAAAACATTTAATTCACAATGGAATTTGAAGGCCGTATTCCCTTCTTAGACGTTAGTGTACACAGCCACGCTGTTTATAGAAAATCCACGCACACACTAACAGACACCTCCACGGTGCTTTAACACTTCATAGATTAGAAGAGCTCAAAAATCATTACTACCTCCAACAATTAATTTGAAAGATAAGTATTAGTTCATAGAAATAAAGAAACACAAATTCAACTTCAACAGGGATCACGGAATAGAAATCAGCCCAACCTGGACACCAGTTATTATCATGTAAAAGTGGCCCAGACAAATCTACAGATGGTAAAAAATATCACATGTATCAGTCACCCCTGAGCAACAACATTCAGAACTTCCTACAAGACTCCACATACCTTTGTCACCCCCACCTCAATATAGCCTAAGACAACGTGAACGACCCTCTTCAAATAGTAGTTTACCTCAAAGATGGATAGCTGCTACGCATAAAAAATGCTAGCCTCTAACTTAACTCTTACACAACTTATTCTTATAATTCTTCAGTGTGGCAGATTGTGTGAAGATACAATAATATATTTTTTTCTTACCGTCGCTACTGGTTGCATAGATGGTAAGAACACAATATATTATTATAATTTATTCTTAGTCATCACCCGTAGACCTAACACCTAGATAAATCCATAGAAGTTCACAATGATGCTTTTCCCATATAGGGTTTTAGTTAAATATATGTAAGATAGAAACAAGACCAGGGTTTGTACCATTTCCTTTCAAAACATAAATAAATTAGGGCAGAAAAAACAACACATATTACAAAAAATATAGGGAAGAAGCTATTATTGTAGGTTGGAATGGTAAAACCTAGACGCCCGGGAACGTTTTTTGTACAGTATATATAGATAAAAATATTATATGACACGATATCTTGAGTAATTGATGCCTATTTTTTGTGAAATTCAACATGAATCAGTAGGGCTGTATAAACATTAAACAAGAATGAGTTTGAAACAGCAAGATCAGGTAATTAAGAAAATGGTGTTGGTAAGGTTTTTAAATCATTAATACATTAGTTTTTTTTTCAAATACATTTCATCCAAAAGTATACATTAAATTACAGTACAGTTGAACTCTAATAATCCTAATCAATGGGACATTCGCATAATAAAAAATACATAAAATTGTATTTTCACCTGAATTTGGGGTATTTTAAAGAAAATAGGCAGAGTCGAACCAAGCTTGTAATTAGTAAATAGTAACTGTAATCACAGAAAATATCTGCAAAAATTTCATAATCGAAAAATTCACGTGTTTGCCTTAACCGTGGAGGACAATTATAATTTTCATGACTACGAGAGAAAAAGCTATTATGATATTTCCATAACCACAAGAGACAATGATGATGTCCACAAGACCGCAGTAGACGTGCAAGATTTTGCCACAATCATGGATTCTGCCTTCTTTAATGACGTGCTTTTATGTTTTTTTCATTCTTTCTATAAACAATTCGGATATTTGGAGTTTGTATAATTTGAGTTCTACTGTACTACAAATTTACAACGAGAAGGGTACTGAAGTATAAAATATGATAAGTTATAAGTTTTTACCTAAAACTAACTTTGAGTACGTTGCCTTGTGAGAGAAAGGTTGATCAAAGCTTTGAACATTCGTCAATCAGTCTCTGAAACAAACACACATCGTCACAACATTTGAAATATTATCTATAACATCACATGTTAAATAAACTGATTAAAAAAACACAAGAAACAGGAATATTTAATAATTAATTGCAACACTTTTAATACAGGGAACTTCAGGACCATACCTATACAAATTATTGTTAAATCTATAATCAGAATAACGTAACAAATTTGGAATTTGGGAGCCTAAGACCAAGACTAGTCTAGGAAGGGGCTACAATAGCTACAGGAGTCTTGTCTAAACCACATATTATAAGTGAGACACACACACACACATTGGTTAAGGGCACACTAAAATCTTGCAAGCTCAAATACACGATTGCATGGGACTGCTTAAATCCCAAAAACAATATAGTCTTTCTGTATAGGGCAGTCAAATTTAAAATAATCTTAGCATTTGCAAATAAATGTATCATAGACACTGATAGAATGGCTCCTAGACCGGCTGTTTCACGAAAAAATCTCAGGGAAAAAATATTTCTAAACACAACACTAACTGCAATATACAGGGTGCAAATTAAGTATGGAAACAAATCTGCATTTTTAAAACCGAAATAGATATATAAATTATATGTTTATGACATTGATTATGAACAAAGGTTCCGCAATCGTTAACATCAAAAATAGTTTTCAACCCCCCCAACAGGGTTGATGGTAAGGGTGACTTATTTTTTAAAATAGCAATCCCTATTGAGTGACCCCTCATTTTGAAGGGTTTGTCAAGAGAAATACAATGGCACAAACCCGAGGTAGATCTCTCTCGCCTAGCAAAATGGCGGGTATTTTGATTTAATCTATATTTTGATTGAGATTTGATTTGAGTTATTTTTAAGAGTGCTTAGCTATCAGTGTTTCTGTACGCAGGATTTTTGTCACAAAAACAGGATTTTAGATCATGTGCGGGATGAAACAAGATATTTGGCTCAGATGTCCGTTTTTCTAAAAAAAATTCATTTCAGATAAAAAGTAATCTCTATTAATTACCAAGGTTAGAAAAGTTAATTAAACATGATACACTGAAAAGTTCACTCGGAATTGAGCGTTTACACTATTTACAGTTACACTAATTAGCAGAAAAACATAGCGTTGTTTAGATGATTTATAATATCCTTGGATTAAAGTAAACAAATTTACAATACTGTAAGTTACAAAAAATAGGAACACATAATACAATTTCATGGAGACGCTCCAGACCCAACTGAAATATTGGGTACTTTCCTGGAAGACCGGAGAAACCCGAGAGCTATGAACACGATTAAGGGAAGTATTGTGCTCTAGGGTTTGAATTATACTTATTTATAAACTATCTTAGCTTCAATTCATAATTACCTTGATATCACGAAAAAGAGGCTCATTCCTCTTGTTTAAAACTCCCAAACATTTTGGAATGTCGGCTAAATTCAATACGAGTACTTTATTCATTTTTAGAATAGCCTTCCTTTCAACTTCTCCAAAAAATCCGTCAAGTCTGAAAAAGCAAATTCAAATGAAATGCGATGAGAATTTCAAACACCAAATAATGTAAAAAAAGTATTCACTTTACTTTTCCTTTTAGCAACAAACATAAGCACTCATTAAATCTAATGACATTTGACTGGGGAATAATAATGACTTGTTAATGGAATAACTTCTTGATCAGCATTGTACGTGTTATTAAATTTACGGAAAGTAAATAAAAGAAACGTCTTATAACACTTAAAACATATATTTACGCTTATACTGTTACTCACAAGACGGTAAATATACAAAAACGATGGTAAGTGGTGATCGATTTCGATTGGACACTCCAATCATCATCAGACCCAATAGGCGAATGTACCATCGTCACTTACCATCGTTTTTGTATATTTACCGTCTTGTGAGTAACAGTATAAGCGTAAATATATGTTTTAAGTGTTTAAGACGTTTCTTTTATTTACTTTCTGTTAATGGAAATATTGAAATTCACTTAGTCTGTAGGTTTGCTACGGTAGGGGTATTTATTGGTGGGTTAGTTTAGGGTAGTATGGCAAAAACGTCACATGTAGCTTTTTTAAGTTGAGGTTTAGGTACTTGCCATTTCTATTCGATCATTAACTTTTACTTGACGTTTCATTAGTTTTCTTCAACTTACTTGTTCAATTCAGCGAGTATTTCAGGATGACTTGTTTGATTTATGGTGAAGAATTTTATAGACTCGTCCAATTCGAGCACTTTCACATTTGTGTGAGGTCTGCCCTGTACAAACTGACTTAGGAACTCCAAGGCCACGATTGCTGGCTTTTTGTCTACGAAGAGCAGATGGAACGGTTTATTCTCAATTCCTGGGTAACAAACACAACAGATTGTAGTTTGTTTCACAAAACACAAAGTAGACAACACTTTTCAAATACACATTACATTAGGTTCTCACCACAAAACATATTAAGTCATTTATAACAAAACATACCACACAGAATAAAACAGTCACAATTTTCAGAACAATTTGAAAACTTACCTATTATCTGAACGGGAACTTTTCTTACTCCAAACTTCTCTGGAGGTGGTTTTTTTTGTACGTTGTTGTTATCAACTCTGAAAAAACAACCAAGTTTATGCTAATTGTTTTCTATGGATTATTCAGGGACATACACTCACGGATCATAATGGAGTAACAAGACGATACACAGTTTTAAGAAACTCAGAGTGCATTTTGGTTTGCATTTAATGGCCCTTTGTTTTATCATACTACAGTAATGGCAATTTCAAGAGAGAACACATTTTTTACATAATATGCCAAATTTAATTTAATGATTTTTTAATATGGCTTTTAGTGTAAGGAGTTCTAAAACCTACCTGAGAGATTAAATCTCTCTTTTTTTAGATAAGCGGGCTCCATGCAATCATATAGATAATAAATCAATGGTGTTTGGCAGGATTCGAATTAGAGCCTCCAAGACATGAATTTAGTCCTCTAACCACTAGACTAGCTATGCCGTTGTTGATTGTGGTAGGAATAAAGTATTTCTAATATGAATAACTGACAAATACAAAAAGTCAAAGACAAATTACAGAATTACAGTCCCATAGGAGGGTTTACCATGAAGACAAAAATAATTACATCCTTGCAAGAAAACCAAAGTATAATATTATCTTATAAAAAGATAGGGCATTTGCCAGGAATTATTAAGGAAATTGACAGGAAAGCAGGCTTACCTTTAAATAAGTCCATAGAGACACATAACACATAACAAAATTAAAAGTAGAAATTTTCGTGGTCACTGACCACTTTTTCAACCACTGGAGATTGGAGAAATGGCAATGGCAGTTGCAATTTGAATCTATTACACCTTGTCAGGGTTGCCAACACAGATGAAGAGACTAAAAATTGTTTTTACTGTTGCATATGTATGAATGTGTTCACTTATTATGAATAATCCACTATATTTACACTGTTCTATATTTACACATATGTACACACACATAATAAACATTTTTTTTATATACACTAGCCTGCTATGGAAGGTGAGGAATGGGGTTTATCTTAGATTAAGGTTTGGTGGGTTTCTAGAATGGGTGAACCATTGGTAGCTTAGTTCCCATCTTCTCAGTTCTGAGGGGTTGCAGTTTGGAGGCAGTTGTTTTATTATTTTTGAAGAGTAGCAGCTATTAAAATCAGATTTTGAGTGGGATGAGGCATGGTTGACTACTGGTTTGTCTTTATAATTATTTTTTACATCTTGACGATGACCGTTCATTCTGGTACGGAACTGGTTCTTTGTTAGGCCTATATACTGAGCTGGGCAGTTTTTACATTGAAGCTGATAAATTACATTGCTGGTGCTGCAGGTGTTGTGTCCTTGAATCTTGAAAACTTCATTTGTGGCGTTGCTGGAAAAACTTGTGGTGGGGGGGTTGATGGGACACGTTTTACATCTGGAAGTATTACATGGGAAAGAGCCGTTTGGGGGTTTGTTTCTGGTTGCTGTAATTGGATCCGGTATCTTAGGATGAACAAGAATCTTTTTGATGTTAGGTGGTTGGCGAAATGTGGTGGTTGGGGGGGTTTTCAGGAAATCCTTTGTGTGGGGGGAAGCTTGGAGAATTTTGAATCCATCTTTTAGAATGGAGTTGAGGGATTGTAGGCCATGGTGGTATTCGGTTATTAGGTTTAGGTTTTGCTGTGGTTTTAGTTTCTTTGTTGGAGGGTTGTTTGATTGGGCTAAACGGATTAGCCATGATGGATTCAAAATTCTCCAAGCTTCCCCCCACACAAAGGATTTCCTGAAAACCCCCCCAACCACCACATTTCGCCAACCACCTAACATCAAAAAGATTCTTGTTCATCCTAAGATACCGGATCCAATTACAGCAACCAGAAACAAACCCCCAAACGGCTCTTTCCCATGTAATACTTCCAGATGTAAAACGTGTCCCATCAACCCCCCCACCACAAGTTTTTCCAGCAACGCCACAAATGAAGTTTTCAAGATTCAAGGACACAACACCTGCAGCACCAGCAATGTAATTTATCAGCTTCAATGTAAAAACTGCCCAGCTCAGTATATAGGCCTAACAAAGAACCAGTTCCGTACCAGAATGAACGGTCATCGTCAAGATGTAAAAAATAATTATAAAGACAAACCAGTAGTCAACCATGCCTCATCCCACTCAAAATCTGATTTTAATAGCTGCTACTCTTCAAAAATAATAAAACAACTGCCTCCAAACTGCAACCCCTCAGAACTGAGAAGATGGGAACTAAGCTACCAATGGTTCACCCATTCTAGAAACCCACCAAACCTTAATCTAAGATAAACCCCATTCCTCACCTTCCATAGCAGGCTAGTGTATATAAAAAAAATGTTTAATATGTGTGTGTACATATGTGTAAATATATAACAGTGTAAATATAGTGGATTATTCATAATAAGTGAACACATTCATACATATGCAACAGTAAAAACAATTTTTAGTCTCTTCATCTGTGTTGGCAACCCTGACAAGGTGTAATAGATTCAAATTGCAACTGCCATTGCCATTTCTCCAATCTCCAGTGGTTGAAAAAGTGGTCAGTGACCACGAAAATTTCTACTTTTAATTTTGTGATGTGTTATGTGTCTCTATGGACTTATTTAAAGGTAAGCCTGCTTTCCTGTCAATTTCCTTAATAAAAAAAGTATAATATTACAATTGTTCGAATATAGAACCACCCGGATAATTTGAACCACCAAAGAGTAGTAATTTATTTGGCAGGAAAACAACAAAAAATTTGACTTTTTTCAAAGTTATAGATTGTGTCAATTAGGTTGGTGTGTGAGAGGGAATGGGGAAAATCTTTAAACAACATTGGGGATCCACTTAATGCTAGTGCTATTTCAATCCAACAGAAATTATTTGTAGGGACCTGTACAAAGTACAAATAACAAAAACCACAGTGGTAGACTTACGGTTCTTGTGCACGTTCAAATCTTGTTCATTACTCCAATTGACATGATCTATACTTTGTGTTTTCATCAAGGCCTACGTTTTTTTTTTTAAGATTGACCAATTGTTTTCTCTAAAAAAATAGCATTAAAGTAGTAAACAATTGCGGTAAACTTACTTTCTTGAAATGCTTAAAGCATCCGGGTCAAAAGCATCCTTCCAGTTCATCGGAATTTGGCTGATCTTTAACAAGGGCGACCTTTTAGAGGTTTCATTATCCAAAACGGACTCTTTTGGTGGGGTGTTCGTACTATCTAATTTTTTAGGGCTCTCGTTTTTCACATTAACTGACACATTTAGTGGTTGATTCATACTTTCTAGTACTTTAGGGTTTTCAAACTCCATAACTGACTCATTTGTTGGTTCATTTACACTTTCTATTATTTCAGGGCACTCAAACTCCATAACTGACACATTCCTTGGTTCATTCACGCTTTCTACTACTTCAGGGCACTCAATCTTTATGCTAGACTCATCTGTAGGTGTGTTTATTCTATCCAGTATTAGTTGTAACTGTTCTTCAATATCATAAAAGGGAAGATGAGCTTCAGTAAGTGGCGTATCATCTATATCTAGATTGTCCCAAAAACTGTCATCACAAGGTTCATATTTCTCAACTGGATTCTGCTTGGGAAATACTGATTGCTCTTCAGTAAGTAATGCATTTTGTTCATTCAGTAATCGTTCAGAGGAGACTGGGAGTTCCGTAGTCAATGGATGTTGCTCATACAGAAACAGTTGCTCCTCAGTCGTTGGATTCTGTTCAGTCAAAGTTGTCTCTTCTTCAGTCAAAGTTGATTCTTGCTCTGTCAAAGTTGATTCTTGCTCAGTCAAGACTGGATGATTATTCAAAACTAAGCTAGCCAGTGGGTGATTGACTTCTTCGAGTTCTTCAGGAGCACTAGCATAGTCGTCACTCGAGTCATCTTTCGAAGAAGGAGAATACACTGACTTTACAAGGCTGCCGCACGTAGACAACTGCTCAAGGCTGCTTGGACGAAGTGAGAAAGCTTCTTGCACCTCATTATCCAAAATGATCTCATGTTGAGGAGATTCGAGTTTGGATTCCAAGGGAGTGGATCTGGACATTAGCTTGACCATCTCTTTATGTGCGTTATCAATCAAACTTTTAAATGACATTTCATCTTCCTCTTTTTGTGCATTATTGTTCAAACTTTTAAATGACATTTTTCCTTCCTCTTTTAGTGTGGTATTATTCAAACTTTTAAATGACATTTTTTCTTCCTCTTTTTGAATGTTATCAATAGAACTTTTAAATGATATTCTATCTTCAGAGTTGGTTTTGTGAAGAGGGCTGAATTTGGTATATTTCTCAGAGGCTTGAGATGCAGAAGAAGTTGGCCTGCTGTGTTTGCAGATGTTAGCGACTTCTGCAGAAGCTGGAGTCAGGGGTGTAGCAGGCCGAGGGATGTCATTCACGATGGGAACCTGAAATCAACACAAGTACAGAAGCAACAGATTTCAATCACACTAAAAACATAGTTATAGAATTTATTACCATGAAACATTTTCACACTTTTCATTTGCTATTAGGCTTTTATAATAGAAGACAATTTGATTTGTAAAACTCAATTTGATGTAGGTCTATTGCAAATAACATGAGATTTGAAGTGGAAGGATTTAATAGACACAAATAAGATATCTTAGATATAATTTTTTCATCCTTTTCTTAAAAAAAAAGATATGTAACGTACATCTTTGATGAAACCTTAAACATTAAGTATTAAAATATGGTATTGTTGTCCTACCCATGATAGTGGCAATATCTTTACATGTCCCCGCGGTCATAAAGACATCATCATAACCCGCAATTCTGCGTTGCACAGTGTAGACACAATAATACCATAAAACAACAACTCGTTTCAATGGGAAAAATGCAGTTGTTAAGGGAAAAGTGGCAAAACAAAAACAGTAAAGGTGAACTAACACTGGCAATCAACACTTGATCATAACATCACCAATCTAGGTTTTTATTTCATTTGAATGTGCTAAAAACAAACAACCCAACACTGCTAACTTGTGCTATTGTGTTTTCCAGTTAGAGCACTAACCTTGCCTTGGTCTTTCCCACTTGGATAAGAAGTTAGATTTCAGATCCTGAAACGTCATAAGACTGGTGTTCAACTAATCCGTATCGGAAAATATCCCCAATAATATGTTAAAAATCAAGAGGTAACGCCACACTACACAACTTATCTTGCTGGGTGGTTTTAGTACTAGCCTTCAAATCTGAAGGTCCCTTGTTCGATTTGATTTCCAAGCAAGATTATAACTGAACCCAGGTACCAATTTTTCATTGGACTATCAATTAATGATGCTACTTAACAAAAAGTTGACGTTAACAAGACCAATGTTTGGTCCAATCCCTTAAAAAAAAAAAAAAAAAATGCAACAGGCACAGATACACACAAGATAATTTAAAAACTTTTGTTACTATTTAATTTTTAATATCTTACCTCACTTTTAGATGGCGGTTGTGGAGTTACTGGTTGAAGAATAGTCTCATCTTTGGTCACAGAGGCATTGGTTAACACTGGTGGCAGATTATTTACCCAATCAGAAACAGTGGTTGGAGCGGAAACACCCGAGTAGGATGAACGTCCTGATGAGCCAATCGGCGAAGAACTGGGGTTGACTGGACTAGACGTGGGATAAGAAGAGGTAGGGAAAGGTGAAGAATGTGGGCAAATGCTAGCACTAGAAGGGAAATTCTGGTAACTAGGCCGGACAGGTTGATTCACAAAGTAAGTTAAAGGTTGAAATGCCATCTGATTTGGTACAAAATAAGAAGTAAGAGGTAAGGGTTGTTGTGGCAGAACAGGTTGATACTGTGGGTAAAGATTGGTTGAAGGGATACGTTGGTTGTACGGCAAAATATGGGTATTTGATTGGTAAAGCGGATGACCTGCATAAGGTAAATTGGAAGGGTTCGGTGGTGGCTGATTGTAAGCAGCTGGCAAACCCAACGTGGAAGGATAAGAATAACTGTAGTAGTTGTGCACTTGTATAATGGTGGCGGACTGGTCTTGGCTAGTGTCAGTAGACGAAGCCGTGACCGATGGCATATCAATATTCTGAGGCTCTTCTTTTTGACATGTACCAGGAAGAGGCTACAACAAAAAACATTATTTACTATTTTTGAGTGTGTAATTTTGTTTCAAAGAATATTCAACTAAATTGATTAATAGTTCTCTTTATCGAACCGGTTTAAAATCACTTATAACCCATCTTCTGTTACATTTGTTCAACTCTAAAGCATTACAACTACTTGAATTGAGCCTTTTAAGCTTTATAGCTGATATAGTATACGTACAACTCCAGGAATCTTTCTCCATTGTTAACAACTTTCTAAATTAGTAAAATCTGATGTCCAGACTATGCAGCATTTTACGGAGTAGTTTTTGCTTACCTGATGTGATTGTGTGAGTGTAAAAAATCCCCATTTTTCACTTGTAATATTGCAAAGGTCACTAACCTCTATTTTACTTCTTCCCTCCCTTCAGTTGGAGGTAGACTTGAGCAAGTTCAAGAGTAAAAAAAAACAACTTGTAGACAGGTTGCTACAGTACAAGTGAATGTGTTGCTTATGGGTTCAGTTATTATTAAAATAGCTATTATTTGATATTTTAGAGGAATTTCAAATTATTTGTATTGTTCTTTTTGTTTTAACTATAACGATATTGTGACATGATTAATGCAAATTTCTGTTTTTTAATATGGACCAATAATTGAGTAGTTGAGTACACGGGGACGTAAGAGTAAGCAAACTTCCAACTCCAACAAATGAAAAATCTTCTGAAAGCTATATTTAATTAATGCACAAGGTTTTTGGTTGATTAGTATTGCTTGAGCGTAGACAACTTTTTACTATTTCCCCCTTAGCTCTCTTCGCTTGGGATTGTTCTTACACATGACTTCAGACTGGACATAGAGGATTGCGGCCATTATATCTCATGGATAAAATCCATCGGTGATTGGCAGGATTTGAACCCAACACCAAGAAGACCGAAGCCCCGCACACTACCACTAGACCAGCTTGCTCCCCTGTGCAGTAGACCATAGGTTTGATCAATCGTTGTCCAGGACAAAAGTTTAAAAGTTTCAATCCCGTATCGGTCATGTCTGACATTGAACTTATGAGTTCACCTATTTATTAAAAGGCTTGCTGGAGGAGACCCATTTGAATAGGTGGTGGATTTTGCATCTCGAATGAATTTTTTTCTTATCTTTAATAAGTGTTTACAAAAACATTGTTTTATGTGTGTATAGGCTTTTATGTTAGTTTTAGGGGAAACATTTGTAAAATAGGAATTAATGTATCACTAAATAACCCCTTGGAGATAAAGGGTTAGCGACATTTACCGTTACACTTCCAAGGTTGGGATACAATTGATACAATACACATCTGTATCGTAAAATATTAAGTAAAAAAAAATTTATAGAAGATGGATTGTACAAGACTCTAAACCAGCCCTGTAAAGATGTCTATATTTTCACACATGCGAAGTAAGTTTTTAAATTCAGCAAATGGGTGGCTAAGCTTTAAACAAAGTACTGTATGTAATGCACAAATACAACAGTGAGCAGTTTTATAAGGATTCACCTTTGTACATACAGTCTTATTAGAAATCCACACATAACACTAAAATATTACCAATGTTTTTAGTATTAATCCCAATGCTAACTTGCAGAACAAGCATGTACAATAGCAATTCACTAATAGATTTACTAAAATTTCTTAAAAAGACCATATTTGCATGTAGTGAGAGGTATAATAGCACAAGCCCAACAAAATCACTACTAATTTTAGAATTGTAAAAATATTGTTAAAAACTATTACACAATTTAGTAAAACATAAATCTGATAAATTGTATTAGATAGTGTTGTAAAAGGTTACTAAACTTACCAAGGCAATTCATTTGCAAAGGATAAAATTTAATTTTGCAAGCGAATTACCTTTTGTAGCCTAAACATGCAACCAATAATAATAATGATTCCATGCGTCTCATAGCAAGAAGAAATTACAGAAATTGTACAGCGTAAAGAGGTTAAATTGAAACATTGCAAACTACAAAGTATTGTGTCTCTCAAACATTGCAAAAATGGAAACTGTGCAGGAAACAAAATCACATCACTCCAAGTGTTTGTGTTATCAAACCTAAGTCAATAAGACACAAACAACATTTTTCTCATTCAAGTAAGGTGGAGAAAACACAAAAAGGGCAAAAGAAAAATGGGAGTTTACCTTAAATCCCGGAGGAGGCCTTGTAGTATTTTTTTTCTCTGGTATATTCTGGAACAATGTTAAATTCACAATAAATTTAGAGTAGTTAAGTAATGAAGCCAACAATGTGCCGCTGAATATTAGATGGATTTTAATAGCAAATAAGGGCAAGAAAATCCTATTAAATTAGTTGTAGCAGATTTACCATTACCGCAGATGGATATGCAGCTAGAAGTAGAATTTCCAGTAGTTTAAAACACTGTATGTTCAGGAAGGAAAACTGTAGAATTTGAAGTTGTTCAACTCGATATTTGGACTTGTAAGAAATAGACTTTCAGGTTGTGTTTAGATATTCTGGGTGATATTTAGGGTGTTGGATATTCCGACTGGTAAGAAGTAGAATTTTAGGCAGTATTTTCATTGGATATTCGGACAGGTAAGAAGTAGCCTTTCATTCAGATTTAATATTCAGACTATCAAGAAGTAGAATTTCATAGTAGATATTCATACAGGTAAGGAGTAGAATTTATGATTGGATATTCATTCATACAGGCAAGAAGTACAGTGTAGAATTAGTGGCTTTGGGGGGGGGGGGGAAGTCTTTAAAATGCACAATCTTTGGTGCTGACAAGGCAATACTATTCAGTGACTTTAACATGAGATAGTCAGGCATACAATATTTTGTGACGATTTGAACTGGTTGCCTGCTCCCAAAATATGTTGGCTCTGTGATTCTGCATTATGAATTCAATCATTGCCTGCAGCAAGCTGAAAAACAAATTATAGATTCGAGGAACTTTATTTTAGTTAGGCTCGGTTTTTCGTGGCCCGATGGTAAAATCAGCAACTTTTCCGTGAACTGAAGACACCCTGGAAGTAGAGTTTCAGATAAAATATTGGGACAGGGAAGAAGAAGTAGGATTTCTGATTAGATATTCAGAAAGTTAAGAAGTACCATTTAAATTAGTGTTCCAACTCGGCTAGGTAATAAATACAATTGTCTTTTATTGCTAACCTTTAGCATTACTACAGAGAACAATCGGGTGATCTACAATCTAATATTATTTTTCTTAACCATTTTATTGAATGGCATGCAATAACCAGAGTACAAATGTTGTCCAACCCACAAAATAACAGGCAAACAATTTAATCTAAGCCACCTAAGCAAATTAACTATAATAACCCAGAACCCAAAAAGTTGTTGAAGTGATGTCTTTGTATGTGGGTGTGCGCGCGAGCGTGGATGTGTACTACCACAGACTAACCCTGTGGTCCCGATTCCTAGGGTATCTCACAAAGAATGTTTTTCTCTTTTTGGAATACCGATTTGGAGATTTTCCCATTAAATGACTTGGTTTAAACAATTTTGATTCAAATTTAGTATGTTGTGGTCCTTTAAGCTTATCAAAATGTTACAATCCCCAATTCTGTACAAATTATGGTTCCAAAGTTATCGCCAATTTTTAGTAAAATGAATGTAGTTGTGTATGACAATCACGGAATGCGCTAATGTCTAAAATTCTACTTTCTACTTTATCAAAGCTTACACATACTAGAATTACTACATCAAGGTTTGTTGACAAGCTAATGGCAGAATGTATGTGTCAGTTTTGGTACTGTTAACTTCATCAAGTTTTGATTATCAGACTTTGTTTACCTTGACAAAATTAAGGTCCCAAAGTAGGCTATAACATACAAAAGGGAGTCTCTTCATTCTTTTTTTGGGTTGTTTGATTAATATCAGGGAAGTCTAATGTATAGGTCGGCCGCTTAGAAAACGACCTCCTCCAGCATTGGTTTAGCATTAGCGCGCAGGTCGTTTTCTAAGCGGCCGAACTTTAGTACTTGTGACATGATAGAAAATTAAATTCAATAGTTGTAAAGAAATAACCGTCTGCTCATGATTGACTAAAACTGTACTTCATATTAATGTTCTTTGGCCTAGGATCACTTCTTTCTTGAACATTAAAATGGTATTACCTAATTCCGCAAATTACCTAATAAGTAAATTACCTAATTCCGTCTTTGATTCTAAATTTTTTAGTGAGCAGCTACCGGTTTCGGGGTTACAGAAGTTCGGATCAGTACAAACTTAAATATTTCACTGAGGATGAGTATGGTAAAATTCTTTATAATGCTATAACATATTTATTAATATTTAAGTAGACATCCCATCTTTATGGGCCAGATGTAGCCCATCTTTTATTCAAATTAAACCCAGTTGAATGAACTACTTAAGGTGTATGCTATGTTAAAATATTTTTTATTACTTTTTGAGGGTTCAGTTTTGCAGAGAACCTATGATATATTATCGCCATCGGTTAAATATTGGTATAAAGCAATTATAATTTGGTTCGATATATCCCTTCAAAATGTCTTTCCATTGTAAACATCAAATTGAGTTATGTTCTATTAACATTTTTATTGATGTTTAATAAACAAAACTAACTTATGAATAAGTTATTCAATCAATAACAAGATATATTTTAAGATCGCCATCGGTTAAATATTGGTATAAAGCAATTGTAATTTGGTTCGATATATCCCTTCAAAATGTCTTTCCATTGTAAACATCAAATTGAGTTATGTTCTATTCACATTTTTATTGATGTTTAATAAACAAAACTAACTTATGAATAAGTTATTCAATCAATAACAAAATATATTTTAAGAACGTTAACAAAACAAACAATAACCAAAACTTATTGATATGGTTTACCGCATAGGGTTAGAAACTGTATTTTACTGTAATTTTTAATCGTACAAATTTAGGATGAAACCAAGGATAAAAAGAAACGACTTTATCAATGATTTTACTTGTATATTAAAAAATTGAAATCAAGGCAATTATATCAAACCATATACAATCGATATATTTAATCCAATAATATATCGCAGGTTCTCTATGGAACTTAACCCCTTTTTGTTGCTATGAGAGTTGACGTGACAGAAAAAAGTTGTCGTATTCCTCAGAAATTAGTTCTGACATCACTCCATTGGTCACTCAATTTAAATGTTCATATTTATACTAAAACTGACTTAAGTTATAACAAGGAAATGAGATGTCTACTTAAATCATCAGTCAGAGATCTAAAACTAAAAACTTTACAACTAAAAGTGTTTACCTTATATGGAAGAGAGGGGATAGAGGAGATCCGATGAGGAGGGGAGTAATTTTGGAGTAAGGATTCCAACACAAACTTCAGCTGGTCATCAATCTAGATTCATGTAAAATAAGTTCATGTGTAAAAAAAACTATTTAATTTAGCAAAAGCCCTGTGGATTGGGCGAGACATTTTGAGATGTGATTTGAAATTTTGTTTGTGGGTACAGCAACCTCTCAATAATCCGTACTAGTTGTTATCTTGATTATTGAAGTAAGGCAGGACTAGGACAGTTTCGGAATCGCGTGTAACTTATATAACAAGACACCTTTCACAAAAACTGATTGAATAGTGTCTGTGCAAATGTAAAATAAATGTTTACGGATGTTTTAAAATATCTGAATAGCAGAATGTATCAAATATGATACCATTGACTATTGGATACTGAAGAAGACATCCCATCTATGTTGACCAACTATAACCAATTTTTGTATTAAAAAGAATATGTAGTTGTGTGAGCTGAAATTCTATTATACACCTTATCTTTTGTTTCTGGCCAAGTTGATGGGTCATAACAGTTGCTATAGCTCACAATAAGTCATTCTATTAGTTTAACGTATTTGATAGAATTTAGTAATTTATATCAGCACAATCTCACATCAACTACGGCGGTTTTTATTAAAAATCTAGTGACAAATTTAACATGAGAATGGAATGTCTGGTTGTATCAACAGTCAAAGGTAATACACACTGTAGTAACAACATGATTATGTTATTTCAGAGATTATTACGGACATTTTTTATCACAATGTCTGTAATCATTTCTTAAATAACATAAACTAATTACCATCAAACTAAGTATATTGGTTACCTCAGCCCTTTCCTTGTTAGAACCACTACACTCACACACAGGGATAGACGCTACTTACACCATTCTACCCGGCAAAACTGCCTTTTTCAACGGAACTCTCCTGACTTAGCTCCATGAAAATACTATAAACTGCTGTCTGGATTTAGTAATGTTCGTATTAATGAAGGTTTGCTGTACTGAGTGAGGTGAATGTTAAAAATGAAAATACTTGTTTATCTGAGGCGAATTTAGGGGTATACTGGGGTAGGAAAATTCTAACATAAGGTTTTTCCTACGCAAAAACAATAGTAGTTTTCATCACAAGGAGCGAAAGAGGCTCTTTTTGGTACGCAATCGTACTATTTTCATCATACTGTGGAAATAACATTTTAATCTTTACAAAATTAGAACACATAATTTGAGGTTAAACAAAGTCGTCATCATTGTTTACATGTCTCCTGTTTACAAACATAACTTTTGAATATTGTGTGATTAGCAGCATTTCCATAATGTATTTTTGTGTTACTATTATTAAATTGGACTTTTCCAACGTGTCTTGTGTTTTTGTCCATAATGACTAATACAATTTTACAACTAACTAATACGAACAGAAAAAATGTACCATATGTTTGTTCTGATTTTGAAGTTACTAAAGTTACCCAAAAATGATGATTTTGCAGACAATTTAGAGCACTAAAAACAGCTGTTTTCCTATGTAACCTAAGTATGACCTATGTTTTCCTAAGTATGATGAAAAACTTTATTCCATTTTTGTGTGGATAAAACTTAACATCGATTGTACCTAAAAATTCAAGGTGAGTTATTCAATATAGTATTATCATAGACAAATAGAATAAATATAGACTGTCAAGGGAAGGTTCAGGCGCACACCGCTGCAGCGTCTGCTGGAAGCATACGGCTCCTGCGCTCCTCGCCTAGCGGTTTTCGCCAGAACCTATGCTAACCGCAGCACTGCTGGCGGTCTATATTTATTCTATTTGTCTATGGTATTATTAAGTGATTCTTTAAATCAAATGACGTTACCCAAAAATGATGATTTTGCAGACGATTTAGAGCACTAAAAACAGCTGTTTTCTGGACAGTACAGTTATATATGTAAAATATGACAGAGAATATTTTTAATTGTTTTTTTCTCTGATATTGCTTCAAGATCTTCATTTAAATTTGTCTTTTTTCTAACTTGTTTGAATTGGTAATTTTCTCTCAATTGTGCTGTTCTTGTTGTATTTTGTTGTAACTTTTTACTTTTAGTTTTTATAACTCATTGATTGACCATGCATCTGTTCACCATTGCCTTTGTAATAAGGAATGTTTTATGCAATAAAGTACTTATGACGTATGGTTTTGTTTTTCGTCTTTAAAATATAAAATTAAAATCTACAATTATTTGTTTAATATGAGAGAAGTTTATTACTATTTATAGTTGTTAACTATTAACAAAAGAGGGTCAGAAGGACATACTATATTTAACTTAGTAGTGCATCTATTATAACCCCAAACAAAAAATAAAAATTAGTGGAAAAATCTCACTAGAAAATTAACTTAGATAAATGAGAGAGAAATGGATAATAATTTTTCTCAACAAAGCACATGGTTATGTCCAAAAATAAGCTTCATCTTATCACCAAGAGGTAAAATTTCGTCAAGCAATGTAAAGAATAGCTTCATAAATTCATCACTGATGTAAGTTAGTGCATACCAAGGTAATTCCATATACATTATAAGGGAAAACATGTGCTTTGTATAAAGAAAAACTATACAAATAAGACAAAAAGTACAAAGTTTCAATTTATTTAACACAAGAATACATTTTACAATATACTATATGTTTAGTGTGAATAAAACTGTATTGATAAAACACAAGTTTTCCCAAACAATATACATGGAACAAAGACATTTAAAGAAAATACTTTGTCTTAAAAGCACATTTGTTACTTTTAAGGTCGTGTAACAAACCAAACCGTTAACAACTGTTCTTCAACAAAAAAAGTGTTTAAAAACTAATGTAACGACTATAAATGTTATGTGTAAAACTAATGAAGAGAATTAAAAAGTTTGAGAACAATAACACAACAAGATCTTATTTGCTGATATTAATAGCAGCATAATTAATTTAATAAACAACGTAAAAAATGCTATTTTAACAAAAATATTAACAACTTTAATTTTGTTAATAAAATTTGAAGTAGGCTAAATTTGTTTAGAATGTAGATTACACATTCTTTCAACAAGTCTAAAATTAAAAAGTGATTAGCTCTGTAATGACACTTGTCCATATCAATCTAAATATGTACATTGGATGTATTTACTCGGTAGTTGATTAGAAATTAACAGTCTAACTAGAATAAAAAAATTTTTGTAAAAATATTTCTCTTGCCTTTAAGTCAATTAATATCATATACTTCGAAATACTTCTACAGTAGACCCCTTCTTAACCAACCTTGCGTTAAACGATAAATAAATTATCCAAACCCCCTTGTAAAATAACAGTTTGTTTTAACCAACTATTTTGAGAGCAGTTCGGTTTGACCGCCACTTAATCCCGGCATATCCGCTCCCACACTTGGTGATGGAAACATTACGCTAAACTCTACAGGATGTTACTAAGAATAAGTTATTCTGTATTTTTATCTTAAATAAGCACAACTAATATTATATTAATTAATAAGAATTAAAATAAAGTTATTAGGTATTAAAATAAGAATTTTTATTGACTCTCGCCTACGACTATAATTTATTTCACTGAAAGTATTTTACCATAACATGTTTTGGGGTTTTTAAGACTTTTCTATCGAGATTAGTGTAGTTTATAGTGTAAATAATACATGCACAACTTCAAAATAATGATTATATTATATAACTCCAATTGAAGAGCACCTAATTTTTTTTTAGTTTTTAGGAATTACCTGTTTTAACCGACTTTTTTTATCCGAACTAGGTCCAGTCCCATTAGGATTGGTGAAGAGGGGGTCTACTGTACAGGATTAATTTCGTAGAACTTTCCTAAACCTTAGATCCATTACTGTGCCTTACTTCTTTTTGCTCTAACATGTCTAATTATTGCTAATACATCAACTTGTGAATCTTTCTCTTTAATTACTTCTGTAGGATTTGTGTGTGATGTAAAACCATTGCGTAGAGGAAGTTCAGAAACTGAATCAACAGAAGACTTACTCTCTAGAATACTATTTTCTGACTCAGATCTGTTTGCAGTTTCACTACTTAAACCATTAGTGGTATGTGGCGGAGGAGAAGTTTCAAGCGAATTAACAGAGCAACATGTACCATTTAAACCCTCACTGCTTGATTTCTTGGGCACAAAAAAAGGATTTCCCTTCCGACTCTCTTTTATTTTGGCCAAAATACTTTTAATATCCCTTGAATCTGAAGATTCTTGAGCGTTTTGCTTAGATTCAGCTACTATCGGTTCAGTCGTAGCGGGACTTGGGTTTTTATCAGGTTCGCTTTGACTAGGACATTCCAAGGAGTAGTGATGGGATAAAATATCTATACTTTTGTCGCGTTTTTTTAAAAGACACTTGACAATTCGTTTGAAAAAAGTTGGACATTTTGTAGAAACATTTACCGAGCTAGGTAGAAGCGCTATCGAGGGGTCATCTCCTGGAAGTAAAGTTGATCCACTCGCTATTGAAGAGATGTCTTCTGGTAATGACGCATTTCCACTCGGCAGAAGGGTAGGTAGTGTGCTGTTTTCTTCAGGGGATACATCACTGAATAGAATATTATTCGTGGATAAGATGTTTGGATCACTTTCTAAGATTGGGTTAGTCTCAGGCTCCAGTTTTTGGGGTGGACTTTCCTGTTAACAAAAAATACCATTAGACATGAAATGTTCTCTTTCTTATTTTCTTTGACTATATACATAGCTCTTCCATTTCCATTAGACTGCTGTAGTTATTTTTAGAATAAAAAAGGATGAACTTTAATTGAGCCCCCAACAGAGAAGGATGTTTTCATTAACTGATTTCAGTGATATCTATAACACCATCTTTTCACCGAGCCAATCTAAAATGACAAAAATTGTAGGTAGGTGCTCCCTCCATGTCATACCATAGAATGTTTAGGGTACCGGTTCTTTAGTATTTAAAGCCTAAGATCATTTCCAAAAATTATTTTAGAATATAATTTGAATTTTGGATTTTAATAAATAACAAAGTTGATTTTAATAATATATAATAGGCTAAGTAAATACCCTTCTATAAAACCTACTTGTTTCTATAATTTCTATAAGTGCCAAAAAAATGCAAAAACTCGTTCCCAAGCACTTAATTTTTAAAAATCCACCGGTTTAGATAGCATATAGCTAAGGGCACCAAATGGTCCCAGTCCGGGCCTGGTAGTAATTGAAGTACAGCAGTTCATATTATCAGTTTGTTGCAGTAGTTGTTAGGGAGAAAGTTGTAAATGGCTCTTAATTAATTAGTGCTGCAAATACATAAAATATATGTTTAATCGTTGACTTGACACAATTCATGTATCAATGTACTGTTTGAATAAAGGATTTTTATTTTATTTCATTAGTATGTGTTTAAACCCTCTGAGTTGGTCAGGGCAGTGAGACTAGTTGGCTTAACATCCGCTACAGTACTTGTTACAGCAGTGTACAGTCTGCCACACAGAATAGCACACAGTTTGTGGTATTTGACAATAAATAAGGATTAGATACCACAGGTCAAACAACCGATTGCCTAGTTGAGACTACTGTATAGGAATTAAATAATAAACAAACTACACACCTCAGGCGGGATGGGACTGACCAGCCCTGTCCTTATCAGATGATCGTTGAGTACTATTTCCCCTTTAGGATTTTCAGTGTCAAAGAGGATTATCTCGAACTGTACTTTTGTCTGAAAAAACACAATCAACAGTTTTATTGATTTAAAAAACAGTAGATTAATTTATTTAGGTATTAAAATTTCTTAATATTAATGTACAAACTAAACGTCAGTAATTTGCTGTGATTGCAGGATAAAATCACGTGATCACGGATAGCATGGCGTCCTCTAATACAAGGCTGCGACGAGACAAACATGGCCACACCACAGTCCCACTACTGAAATAGCGTTTGCACTGATTCAAAATGGAGATTCTGAGCTATGTAAGTGTTTAAGCGTATATTATCCCACTTGGGGATAGGCAATTTATCAGTCTTACCATTCTTAAAAACCCCCATACTACAACAAACAAGTATTACATCAAGCAGATTTGTCATGCTTTAAAAAAATGCAATTTACCTGTTTGTGAAGAAACCTTTCAGTGACTTGGTACACATGTGCTATCAGTCTTTTGTTTGTGACCATATCCAAAAACTCGTCATTGACTTTTCTTGTAAATTTGGTTTCATTATTCTTTGGCTTCACACCGATGAGCTTGCCGCAAATTGCTTGCGCCGGTAGTTGTGCAAAGTCTTTGGTCAAGAAACGAAGGTGAGAGCACTCTTTGGTGGCTGGTGTTCCGTAGTCAATGTACTCAATCTGAAAGTTTGAGAGGTGCTATTTTTGTATATACTAGTGGAAATCGTGCAATTCCTTAAACTAAATTAATTCTAATAAAAAATGTAGTTTTTTACGCTGGTGTTTTTGCCAGACTTATATTACACTATTAAATATTTTCTTTGAGATTTTTAGCTGCTTTTAAAACTGATGGCGAGGCCAAAAACCTGCTTAGGTTCGAGTGACTAACTAGGTAAGGTATAAAAACAGGTATTAAAAACACTATGTCATCTAATAGATGTTAAGAAATGGAATTTTTTTGAAAAAGTGATAGAGCTCAGATAGCTTAGTTTGAGACAAATCAGAGTCCAGAGGCTAAACAATATGCAAATAAAAGATCCCAAAACCATTTTGTAATTTGTTATTTATATTTTCATCAGCCCTAGACTCTTTATTCCTTAGTTAAGTTCGTTAAACTTGAAACCTTTAGAAAAGTCCTTGCCAGACACTTAGCTTTTTCTATAAAACATAACTTAGGTTTAAATAGTGATTTTGTTGGTTTGAAAAAAAAAATAGTAGAGTCAACCTTTTCAAGGTACAAAGTCTTTTACAAAACTTGTTACACTTTCTTGATGTCCATTTAAAAGTTCAATTTCTTTAACTATGGTTGTACACAAAATGTTTTTGTACCTAGTTAAAAAACTACACCGTACCCTTGAACAAGATTAGTTATGGCTTAGGTTTTGAAGGTAAAATACAACTATTACAAAGAAATAAAAGCAGAATCTAAAGAGCAAAACATACCGCAGCAATACCGTTACCCTTGACTTCCACTACTTTTGCTCGATGCCAGAACTCGCAATACTTCACGGCACAATAGAGGTCTTTTCTTATGTATGGTATTGGTATTTTATACTTATCCTCTTCCCTTTGGTACAAAAAACTGTAACAATACAACGGTCAAAGTGATTAAAAATTGGTCAGCGAGTTGTAAAAATTAATAAAACAAATTAAGAAACAAAAACTAAAACAAATCATTTATTGTTTCGAAATGTATTTTGTCAAATTCTAACCAAGAGAACCTCTAATTATCCTTGTTGGCATTACTGTAAATGAATTCAGGCAATGTCAATCAGCTGTTGGTTTTTAAAGAGGACAGTTGTAACCAATCAGGCTCCTGTGTTTTTTAAGTAAAACGTTTCAAACAAGCAGGCTCCTGTGTTTTTTTTTTGTTTTTTTTTTAAGTGAACAATTTCAACCAATCAGGTTTCGGTGTTTTTTTGTTTTTTATTTTAAGTGAACAGTTTCAATCAATCAGGTTCCTGTGCGTGTGTTTTTTTTTTTTTTTGTAAGTAAAACGTTTCAACCAAGGAGGGTCCTGTGTTTTTTTGTTTTTTTAAGTGAAACGTTTCAACCAAGCAGGCTCTTCTTGTGTCTTTTTAAGTCAACAATTTCATTCAATCAAGTGAACAGTATTATCCATTTAGAGTTTCTCCCAGCACGATTTGCTCCAAAATCACCTCCATGAAATTTATATTTTCATGGCGAATGTTCAAAAATGTAGGCCAAAAGGTTAAGTCGAATATATAACATATTAACCTACGAATTTGCACAAATTCCACAATATTACGAGAAAGATATGAAATGCTATAAAATTCAAAGCAAAATAAACAGAACCTGAACCAAACTGTGATTTCCTATCTTATGATTTTTGATTTTTGTTAAAAAACATTCTCTTCAGGCACAATCACAGGGCACAATTTTTACATTTTCTTCTGTAACATTCCTAAACCATGGTGGAAGGAAATAACATAGGTATATAAGGGTGACGTCACCCGGATTGCAAACAGAAAATCACCTGATAACTACTATATACTGTAAGTACATAGTTGTTTTGATTTAATTGTTATTGTTTTTTATAATTTTTTCTAAAGAGTGAAATGGTGTTTGCAATCTGGGTGACGTCAGCATATGACGGGAATAGCACACCTACGTTTTTTCCTTCCATGTTCCTAAACAGCGTTAAAATCAATTCACTTTGTCAATGTTTTGAAAGATATTTTGATTTTGGCCATTGTGCTGGTTCTTGTAAAACTTAATCAAATTTTCGTTATAGATTATAGATGCTAGCGGTACAAATATATTGCAGACACTTACTGTAGGTCATCCATCATGTTTTCTAGACTTTCATAGGAATTGCTTAGCATGAAGTAAAAGTAGGTCGGAGACATAACTTCGCCTATGCGCACTTCTAACTCCATAAGAGGATCGTCAGGCCCAGAGTCCTGGACAGGAGGAAGGGCTTGCATCGGAATCTCCTCACCATATTTGACCACCTCTGAGGGTACCATCCCACTCAGGGACTCCACCTAGACAACACTAACATTACTGACCAAACAAGTGGTTGTGTTGCTAGCCTAGTGGTTAGCATCTCGGACTTCGGTGCGGAAGGGACGGGTTCAATCACCGGCACTCCACAAAACTTTGATGGATTTGGACCGCTGTCTCGTAAAAGTGTTTGAAATGACTTCATAATAAAAATGCCACTGGCGTAGATACGAGAAAAGAAAAGAGGCACACGGGATTTGGCACTGACAAGTAAAGTACAAAGGAAACATTCAACAATAAACACAAGTGGTGTCTAGCACTAGTGCTGGTGACTAGGATGTAATGGTGTAAATACTAATGTTATTTTATAAACATTATTGACTATACATGTTTAACAAAATAAATAAAAGGAATACGTTATCTCAAAAATATAAATGCATAACTTTAAATAGAATAATGATCGGGAATATAGTATTTTACTTGTTCGTTGTTGTTGTACATTGATGAAGAAGGTGTTGGCTCTATTTACCCTTTTTTTGCTTCTATTAAAGAGAATGGGAGTTGTTCTGAGCCTAGTCTAGTAGTCCAGAAGTGACCTAACTCAAGTAGCTAACCTTGCTGTTTCTACACACCACAAGCCTCGCTACATTTCCATTAACCGACCCTGAGATACATTTTAGACTTTTCAATCAATTTAAAACGGTGTTCGCCCATTCAATAGTATTTTAGAGGAAACTGTTCACATTAATTTAGTTACTGTACTTCTTTTATTCGAGTTGTATTTAAAAGCAAGCTATTGTGATTTCGTAACCAAGAAACCTATCCTTTGTTATTATCGAAATTGGTAATTAAATAAGAGAACAGTTGCTATTATTATTTGATACTTAAAGGGCAACACGACGACGGAGTCCAATAATGCCTCCTTCGCCCTCATGTATTACAACGCTCACAGTGGAGGAAGACCCTGTGCCATAGGAATTTTCGCTCAGTGCTGGCCGTTCAGGCCCTACCTTACTCATCAATAGTATATTTATTTGCACGTTTATCTAATGTTCAACTGTCTTCAGTTACCTGTCATTTATTTTATTATTTTTTTGTTACCTTGTATTACCTCAATATATATTTAATACTGTATAAAAATTAGGGATGGACGAGATTGGATTTTTAGTTCGAGACGAGACGAGACGAGATTTTTTATTTCTCATAAAATTTCGAGACGAGATCGAGACGGGATTTCCCTTCTCATACACAACGGGAAATGCACGTTCGGAATTTTTACCTGATTTAGTAACATTGTTAGATGACTGTTTAAATACAAAAATAATGATAATAAGCAAGAATATTTACAATCTTTTATTAAAAAACATCAGCATAACATTTTTTTATTAATCACGCCTAAATTATTAAAAATGCCAACGATTAGGAAGCATAGTGATATCAGTTAGGATAGAGTTCAACTTATCCTAAAATAAAATAAATCATAAAATAAAATATTAATTTGTATAAAATAGTTATTTGTTTTGACTTTTTTTATAGTAATAAAACATTCCTCACACTGCTAACACTTAAGAAAACTTCTCAAATGTTATTAAAATAATTAAAGTAATATTTACATTTGAAGAATTAATTAAATAAGAACGCCTTCGCAAAGGAAACGCAACTACAACACGCTCCTGTATTGCGGGTATTGCATTGACTTTCTGCAGGCGTTTTTAATTTTTTTTTTTTTTTTTTTTTATTCTCGTCTCGATAAAAATCTCGGCCAAAAAGAAATCTCGTCTCGTGTAACGAGATTTAAAATTTCCCGAAAATTTCCCGAAATTTCGAGACTTGACCATCCCTAATAAAAATGTATTTGAATTTTATTTTGGGTAGTCATTTGAGAGAAATACATTTTTATGTCTAGTTTATAAAATTGGATATGTAAGTTGTACACAACGTACCAGAGCAGGAAGTGTATGGTCATACCATAAGTGTGTCTCTGTACCTTAATTTGTTGTGGTTTGGTGGATAAAATATACTGATTAAATTAATTTTTCCCATCTATTCGACGCCACATATTATGCAATCAGAAAAACTTATGGAGTAGGCCTAGTAGCTTGTTTGTGGGGATTTCTACACAAAATGTAAACAAAATAATAAAAATATAGCATACATTTAAAATGTTATCAATTTATTGTAGAATCCACATGACCAATTCCTTCTCAACCAGCCACCTTACGTTTCAAGCAGCTACACTTGTCAGATTAAGTACGGTAATACTTTTATACTTTTCTGGTTATTTAATAACATAGCATATTATATTGAATTCCAAAAACCACACCCTAAAATCTATGACATCCTCTGTAACAAATTCTATGGACAAAGTTACTACTGACAAGACTTACGGTAACAAACAATCTCTCATCTTTTTCAGGCGGCTGTAATGCTTCATATGATATGCGCTCATGCTTTGGTAACAAAAAGTAGTAATCACTACAAGTTTTTACAGACACATGCTTTCTCAAGTGGTTAACAAACTCATTCATCGTCAATCCGAGCAAATCTAGCTTCAATGGTTTGTTGTATTCTTCCTGAAAAACCACAAACACACAATCTTACTTAGAAACAATCACATCTAAATCAAGCTAGCAGAGCAGCAAAAATTATGAACTTGTATAAAAAACTTTAACACCTATACAGTGAATATTATCACTTGTGATCACATGGAACATGATCATTTTCACTTTCTCCTCACTATACATAACATGTGGCGTAAGTATTGTTTTTGTAAAAAATTTTTAGTTTTGAGATTAGGGTGGGAATATCCATTTCGGGATATTTCCAAACCTGGACCCAAAAAAGTAGATTTTGAAGTTGTCTATATGTGTGTGTTGAGGTGTAAAGCGGATTTTGATGATTTCCGTTAAATGGGCACTAATAAAATATGGAATCTCTGGTTTTTAAATATTTAGGAATCATAATTTTTAATACCGGTAGTGATTTTTCCCATAAAACCCCCAAATATAACAGAAAACTTTTTACACAAACATCTCAAACAAATATGATTAATATGTTGTATGTTATGGCCCTTTTAACTCTTAATAAAATGGCTTTACCCTCAACCCTGTAAAAATTATTAAAATTTATTGCAGCTTTTGTGTTTTTTTTTCCTATAAAATATACTAGTAACTCCCACCATTTGCCCATCCTACATGGTTTTGAAAAGCTAAATAGGAGAAATTATGAGTCAGATTGCTGATACCGTTTGTTTGTTCTATGGCAGTGCTATTTATTGAAAAGAAGTGCAATGGTTTTTTCGTTTTTTGGTACAGTAAAACCTTAACTCCACAATTTGTGGACCCAGAGATTGTGGTGTTTGGATGTTGTCAAGTTATCCAGAACATTTAAATTTTTTATGGGCATGATAAATTACGGTAATACATAGGTAACAGACTAATTTTTACGTATCAATTATACTTGCATGAATTTTACGTATTAAGTTAACAATCTTGATAAGAAATTTCAAATATTCAACAATAATTAAAACTAAATATCCTGGGTATCGAGGGGTAAATAACTCAATTTGCCAGTAATGTTGAATAGAGAGCAAGGGCCTAGCCTGATTTAGTAAATCAGCGAATACATAATAAACTTTCTTATCACAACCTTTGGCCATTAATTTGTTCCAAGACATGAGAAAAGGGGTGTGAATTAGATATACAAGGGTTGGACTCAACTGCCTTAAATATAGAGAGAGACCTTTATATTTAATCAATGCACATTTGGTTAACTGTTACAACTTTTGTAATTCAAGTGTAATTGTTGTATTATCTTGTTAGTCATTTCATGATGTGTGTTAGTATAAAATCTTGTTTTTTGTCATTTGCATTTGAAAAATAAGTATTGTATTATCTCCGAAATTATGTAAAAATGGTAGATCCGCGAATAAATAAATAAATGCTGCAATAACATAAATAATAATTCCAATAACATTCCTAATCATCTTACAAGATAGTATTCCAGTAGCTCCGTACTCCTCAATCCACTCCTGTTTTTCTTCAAAAGTTCTTTAACATTAGTGATGATGGAGTCGGGTATGTATTCTTCGCTTTCTATAAAAAAATAATAAATCTTTTTAAAAAAAGCATACAAATGTGTTATATCAAAAACTTTTACACTCTAGTCAAAGAAGATTAACAAGATTATTAGCTTGGTTTTAATAAGGTAATAAGGTCTGAGGAGCGAGATGAAATGTGCGCAACTTTGCTGTGGATAGAAGTAGATATATTGGGCCAGATATCTTAATTAACATCCATAACAACTGCATTTCGCCACAAAGGTATCCATTAAATTTTAAAATAAAGTTTGATTTGATTTAGAAAAATAGAAGTAATCTAGAAACTAGGGATGGACGGGTCTCGAAATTTCGGGAAATTTTCGGGAAAAAAATATTCCCGATTATCGGGACGGGATTACATTTGACACGGGAATTTTTCGGGACGGGATTTGGTCCGATCGTCGGCGATTTTTCCGCTTCGCGAGTGCCGATAACGCCGTTATTGCGAGCGATAGGTCCGCGAACGCAGGAGACGAAGTCATTTCGACGATTACGCCGTGATCGCGGAGTCATAACGACGATCGCGCCGTGACCGCGAGTCATACCGACGATAACCCCGTGACCGCGGAGTCATACCGACGATCGCGCCGTGACCGCGAGTCATACCGACGATTGCGCCGTGACCGCGAGTCATGACGACGATCGCGCCGTGACCGTGGAGTCATACCGACGATAACCCCGTGACCACGAGTCATGACGACGATCGCGCCGTGACCGCGGAGTCCTACCGACGATCGCGCCGTGACCGCGGAGTCCTACCGACGATCGCACCGTGACCGCGAGTCATACCGACGATCGAGCCGTGACCGCGGAGTCCTACCGACGATCGCGCCGTGACCGCGGAGTCCTACCGACGATCGCGCCGTGACCGCGGAGTCATACTGACGATCATGCCGTGACTATGAGTCATACCGACGATAACCCCGTGACCGCGGAGTCATACCGACGATCGCGCCGTGACCGCGAGTCATACCGACGATCGCGCCGTGACCGCGAGTCATGACGACGATCGCGCCGTGACCGTGGAGTCATACCGACGATAACCCCGTGACCGCGGAGTCATACCGACGATCGCGCCGTGATCGCGAGTCATGCTGACGATCGCGCCGTGACCGCGAGTCATACCGACGATCGCGCCGTGACCGCGAGTCATGAAGACGATAACCCCGTGACCGCGGAGTCATACCGACGATCGCGTCGTGACCGCGAGTCATACCGACGATCGCGCCGTGACCGCGAGTCATGACGACGATCGCGCCGTGACCGTGGAGTCATACCGACGATAACCCCGTGACCGCGGAGTCATACCGACGATCGCGCCGTGACCGCGAGTCATGACGACGATCGCGCCGTGACCGTGAGTCATACAGACGATCACCCCGTGACCCGCGAGTCACAAGTTTCTATAGGTACCTGTAAATTGTTACCCATTTTTTGGCTTTTATAGATCAGTGCCACAAATGGTAAAAATTCATTTCGTATGTCTTTTTTGGTAACTGCAATACAGTACTTTCTTTTTATGCACAGAAAAAAATCCCGTCCCGTCCCGTCCCGAAAATCGGGAAGGAAATAAAAATCCCGTCCCGTCCCGTCCCGAACTAAAAATTCAATCCCGTCCATCCCTACTAGAAACGTAACAGAGATGTCATGGCACAACTTCAAATAAATATCCTAACTTAAAGAATGTCCTACCTAAGTTTACTGATTACTGATTTTATTTTTCATCAAAATCTGAACAGAAACTTTTCAACCCTTAACAAACTACACAGCCGGACCCAAATGCAGTGTTCTCAACAATCACTTAACCTTTTCTAATGTTCTTTGATGGGATAGTCATGGGACTTTAAAATTTTGATTCCGACTATACCTAACAACAGGAAAAAATAGCCTGCATTTGTTTGGCATTAATAAATTTCAATTAAATGTTAACACACTTTCAACATATGCTAATGTTAACGTAAACAACATAACGGATCCAAAAAAAGTAAATCCTAATAAATATTCATATGATCAATATTGCTGTATTTGGAATTTACATTTTTCACTCGAATAAAAAAGTCAGGTAGACATTGAGAACCGAAAGGAGCATGTCGTGTAGGTTTTTCTGACACAAGCACAACACATTTGAAAAACAAAACACCATGCTGATAGAACGGAGATAAAATCCAAGTCTAATAAAATCCAATATAATTTACCTGTTATGAGGAATTCTCCTTTGGCGTCAAGACTTTCTTGGGTGACGAATCGAGCATCATAGAGCTTCCAATCATGCGGTCCTTCTCTTCTAAAAGAGAACACTTTAGGCAAGGATGATACCAGTGACAAAATATTTCTGTATCCTAAGTCGTGGAGTTCAAATCGGACTCCAAAGTTTTTCTGGAACAGAAACGGGATTATTTCTGTAAGCGATGAAAAAAACATATTTTGCAATTCAGGACTTTTTCAACTGGCAAAAGAAACATAAAAGTATAAAACCACTTGTACCAGTACTTAAAAATAATCAACTAACTTACATGGTACAACGATGGAAGCTCGGCAGCCCAAATGCCTTCTGAATGACGTTCCAGGATGGATCTGAAGTTGGTGATCATTTTATCACTGATATAACATCTGTCCTCCAAGTATTCATTCTGATCAGTCTTATCGTCGTAACAATCCGTTGCAGCTCCTTCACAAGGTGGTGTGGTTCTGTAATAAGTCAACTCTAGTTAGGTTACAGACACTCAAACATTAGGCTGCTAGCGATGGTCATTTGGATCCGTTTGATTCAGCCTTTGCAGGACAGCTTGGACTATCAGCCTAAGACTGGCACAGATGTTACGAATATTTAGAATATTACAAAAAATGGAAAAGTACGTCAGACTGTAAATAATGATAACAAGTATGTTACTTTCAGTCATGGTCATCAATTATATGCCTCAGATTTTTAAAGATTCGGAAGAAAAGAGACTATAAAATATCTTGCAGGACTACAAAAAAACTGGAAGACAGGTTCACAAACCTTTTATTCATCGAATTGAAGGAAGTATCAGTTAATAAGGCCAGTGTTTTTATTTATAAGATTTTTTATGATGTCTTCCTTTGCATATGCTAGTTTCTACTTTGCTTGTTACATTAATCTGCATTTGCAGACTGTTTTTTATACATTCTTTTTTTTTCATTGTATTTTATTGCAACATGACAAGATCTATAGCACTGCATGTGTCATTAAGATCAATAAAGAATCTGAATCAAATAATTAATATGAAACATGCAGTATATGTCAAAGAACACGTGCACAAACACAAAATTACTCAAAACATACATGGAGGATGTTCCGTTCCTATTGGCATACGCTTGAGTCACTTGTTGGAACATCTCTTCTTCCGAATCTAATTCATCTTCCAACCAATCATCATCCTCATCGTCATCTTCGTACCCTGCTGGGATGCATCCTTCTGTAGCATATGCGGATGTGGTCTGTGGAGCATCTGAAAATCACCAAGGTTATTATTATGTCATTACATTCTTATTCTTAATATTTCCACAGAGAAGTAAAGTAAGGTAAAGATGAAACATTCAATGGTGCACTTAAGTGGTGTCTAGAACAAAGTCTAACTAGGTAACTTTGAGCATCTATCTATCTGTATATTAATAGGCAGGCATGTTTCTTTAAAACATTTTATCTCAGCTCGTGTGCATCACAGGGAAAATCTACGCATACTGTTAGAAAGATATTTTCCTGTAGCTGTGCAGAATGCCTTTATAAATTAAAATAGGCTCAAAAATAAGCACAGAAAATTAATTTAAAATTTTGAAAAAATTTACATGGATCTTATGAGTTGTCATGCTGGTGACGAAACAACAACAAACTTTGAGTAACTAGATGTTTTTTATTTACTTTTGAGCACCTAGATTTTTTTATTTAACTTTGAACACCTAGATTTTTTTTATTTACTTTGAGTACCTAGATTTCTTTTAATTCAACTTCGAGTACATAGGTTTTTAGCGAATTTCCCATATAGGGAATAAGCTATTACCGTAGTACTCATGGTAAGACCTGGACGCGGGACCGATTTTTTTTTTTCATTTTGAGGTCCCTAGAGGCAAAAAACACCATCCGTTCAAATTCATATATATATATATATATATATATATATATATATATATGTGTCCGTCAGCACGATAACTCAAGCAAAAATGATCCGATTTTGATGAAATTTGGTACAAACGTGTAAACGTACGTTTATTCGAACGAGTTCGCGATCCAGCATGATCGGACCATGGGAACGGGGGTTTACGGGGGGTTTTATGGGGTAAAAATAGGTTTTTCCCATTTTTGACCCAAAAAACATAAAATTTAGCAATTTCTTTCCAAACCATTTTGTAGAGCTTAAAAAAACAAATAATTTAGTATATTGAAGCGTTATTATGCGCCTAATGGTTACGGAGAAAATTCCAAAAAATTGTAAATTTAAAATTCCCATGTTATTCTTATGGAGAATAAGTAAACTGTTGTAGTTTGCTTGTTTGTGAACATATTTTGATCAAATTTGGAAAATGTTTTTATTTCTTACTAACTATTCACATTTTACAAAAAAAAAAAAAAAAAAAAAACAGTTTTACCCTCCCTGATGCAGCAAACCTAAGTACTTGTTAAACTAATTCTATTTAAATCAAGAATAAATGTTATATTTTTAAGTAGACATTTCAGTATAAATCCAATCAGTCAAATGGAAATTCGCTTAGTCTGCAGGTTTGCTGCGGCGGGGGTATTTTTTATTTGAAATAAGTATCCTAATAGATGTTAAGGCTTAAAATTTTATATTTCAATGTACCCACCTTGAGTGTAATAAACTTGGTTGCTACGTTCGTCTGCTTGAGAGGATAAGCTTTTGGAGCTGCAAGGTCCATTGTTCGAGGGATACCTTGTGCTATTTGTGTAACTGTTCGAACTGTATGCATTGTTGCTCTGTAACAATAACAGTTGTACAGGATTGTTTTTGATAGAAATAGAAAAAAAAAACTTTAACACACTTATAGAGATGGAAAGGAATTTATATTTATGAAATAAAGAAAACTCAAGTTTGTTTAAAAAAAGCCAGGAAAACAAATAAGAGCCGAAAATGTGGGCAGGCCCTGGAAACTCGACAACCAATTAATTGATTGCCAATTTCTTCGCAAGTTCTAAGAGGATTTCTCTCTATATCATATTCAGGAACTATGTAATGTACAATATCTCAATCTACCTGGTTGGGTCTATATCTTGCAGGGGGGCGTGACGGAGGACGAGACTCTGCCGCACCCCGACGTCTCCTCGTAGGTCTGTCAAATCCTCTCTTCTTGGGCGGCCTCGATACCTGCCTCGACACCAACTGGTCTATGTGTTTGCTCTTGTTAGACACAACCGGGTACACTTCTGGGTTGTAGTCATATCCCGCCTGAACCTGCAATCACAAACTTCTGTTGTCAATACCTATTAATTCTTAACAGCAAACCCGCAGACTTGGCCAATTTCCATTTGCCTGATTGGATTTTTACTCAAATATATTTCTTTTTTTGAGCTCTACATGGTTTGGAGAGAAATTAGTTTTATGTTTTGAAAATGAAAACGGGAAAATCCAGCAATAAAACCTTGATCTCACAGTCTAATCATGCTGGTTGTGTATTCAGGTGTCATTTCTCTTAAGAGACCTGTCTTACAGTAAACTCAAACACTTTGTAGAATTAGTGGTCTGCTATTTTGTGAATGAGCTGGGAAAAAACCAATTCTTTCTGCAGTAAAGGTTGACTGGTTGAGACTAATAAAACTTATCACTAGGGAACACTAAAAAATGTTTTTTACTAACCTGGACAACAGCTGGGATGGATTTCAAAAACTCTACAAAGTTCTTAAATCCAAGTTTTCTGAGGGGGATTTCCCCTTCAAGATGTGCTTCACATTCCTTCAGTAATGCATTTGCTTTTAAGACATTTGGATTTGAAACTAAAATGCCTTTAATTATTAACTTTATCTCTTCAGTGTCTGCCATTTTTTTTTTTAAGATCTGCAAATAAAAACAAAGTAAGCACAGGAGACTAAAAAATAAATCAGAACTTGAAAATAGCTAATAGCTAGAGGTCTACATTATTTTTGTTTCACATTTCTTAAGACAACTAAAAATTCTTTATTTCCCTAGGCAAAGTAAGGGCCACAGCCTAGTCTCTCACTTAACCTGATCAAGTTGAAGGTAGGCCTACCGATAGTCTCTACCAGAGAAATAAGTTGTGTTGTGTTAATGTTGGGATACGCATTTTGATCATGTAGTAAATAAAATGTCAACTGGTCAATACGCTTTGAGGCTAATGTTTCATGTAGGTATGTAGGCTAATATTTTCTCTCTGAAACCAATCTATTTTGCTCCCATGATCAACTCGCATGGCTTAAAGTATTGCTATGGCGGGACTAGTAATAAAAACCTTAAATATCCGAAACAGCAAAAGAGAGATTTGTGAATTATAGATTACTAGGTGAAACCCGTCGAAATCGACGGTTACTTTCAAGGCGTACGCAAATTCATCTGCTGCAATAAATTGAGTGAAATTATACATATTTTGAGCATTTGGCATTGTTTAAAGATTAATAAGTGTAAAAACAATAATGATATTAATTGCGTTAGTTACCAAAATATGGTTGATCATTCAATGAATAAAATATTTCCCATGCTATTAGTATCTTATCTGGTATCTCTTTCTTTGGAAGAACCTTTATACCAGTAGGCCTATTAAAATCGTATTAGTGAAGCTTTTGTAGTTAAACACTTCCGTGATTCCATAATGCAGATTAATCTAGGATTTTATTAAAAAAAAAAATATCTGTTTGTTGGGAAGACACGTTCTAACTTCAAACGGAGATATATCCGTTACAGTGTAAGTTTGAGTTTTCCTTCGTCACGTCGTGTCAGTTCATATCGTACTTCTGTGCCTATGAATCACACACAAAAATTTGCCTATGCACATTTCTCTAGCAATGTTTTGAGAAATTGGTTGTGGGGTTACTGTTAAAGCTGGAATTCCTTGACATGGGGGATGTCAGTTAGTTGTCTCAGCCCTATCAATTACATAAAGTTGTCAATATAATGTCTCTACAGAATGTTAGGTGTAGTGGAATATACTTGAAGTGAAGTTGGATTTTATTCTTGAACTGTTAGGGGCCTCCTCATTTATATGGTCGTGCGGCTCCATTGGCAACAAATAATGCAAATGATATGATACAGAAGAAAATCAATTTTAAAATCAGAAAATAACATTGAAAATACTTCTTTTGGACAATTCTAACTCCCAATAAATATGTGTTGTTTAAAATACAATATTAAAATTAACAGCTGTTTCATTAAAAAGTATTATCCACACGGCCAAAATGTAAACAAATATGTGGAGGGGTCTTTAAAGGCTTCTGGGGCAGAGCCCTAAGCGAATTTACTTCGTTTTTCTTTTGATAACTCATCTACAGACCAAGACCTTTCTTTGGACACCTCTACCAAGTTTCTACGCCCAGCCGTTCTCTCTAATTAGTGAAGACAAAGTTTACAACTAAATATTTAGATTCCCCCATGTTAATCTTATGGGAGAAAACCCAACTTTGGTGGAAGATCCTGCCCAAACTAATAACGATATCAAAGATCTAAAACCACTTTGCAAAACTACAGATCAGGGCCATTTGTTTGACACTTTAATCATCAAAATCAGTACAAAAATGAGGGAGGAGTTCTGTTTACAAAAATCGGCTTAGCGTATTATATATATAGATAGCGAATTATAGATTATAGTGAATTATAGATTATAGTGAATTATAAAAAAATAGACAATCCACAAAATCATATTTTTCCAAATTAGGCATCATGACTTTACAACCAATATAATATTTGATGCTATTTATGTAAGAAATCCGAACACACAAAAACACAGTAAAAATTCACATGAACTAACTTTAATGGTGGCTCAAACAATTCTCCGAACAGCTTGATAATTGTGCAACCCAAAGTAGGCCTACTATATTCCTCTGTTGTTCAAATCTCCGACAGCCAAGAAGAGTAACATCCAATCAAGTCAAACTAACAACGAGTAGAAATACAACATCGATTCAAGTGAGATTTAAAAACAAATTAAAATCATCCTCTACAGTTTTTTGTTTTAAGAGTTTTGCCGGACGTAACGTGTGATGAGGTTCTGTCCTTCCTAAATTTTAAGGTCCTACAGTTCCAAAGAAGGTTTGTTATGACACTTTTCAATGAACAGACCATCTTGGACGCTCCTAATTCATGTAAAGCCAAAGCCGCTCGGGACTACATTAACCAACATAGACCATCCACTCATGTACCATCATCTCCATCATCTGACAACTTTAATGACTACCTCTTGTATAATTTCCGACCTACTTCTGTTAGAGCCTAACGCAGTTTACTACCTCTCCAACCTAACCCCAACTAACACCCTCAAAAATTGGAAAAAGGCGAGTGAGAAAGATCTGATCAAAATAGTATAAAGATTCAAGGATTCTTTTAGTCGAGATGTAAATGGAGTTTCAGGTCACATTCTCAAATCTGTATTTAAAATGATTATTGCCATTCTTGCTTTTTAGCTAACAGCTGCTTAACTGAAGGTGTATTTCCCGACAACCTGAAGATAGCCAAAACAACTCCTATCTACAAGAAAGGTGACCCTGCACAGCTTGCCAATTTTCAGCCGATATCAATTCTTCCTGTTTTTTCCAAGGCTTTGGAGGCAGTTATGAAAAAACAATAACTTAGAGCATGGAGGAATATTTAGAGCGAGAAATTGTGATAGTTTAAGCTTGTATTGTTGTTACTTTGTTCAGAAATGTTTATTCTTGTTTTGTCCTTTGTATTTTGTTATTGTCAAATGATGGTCTTATTCGAGAACAATAAGTAACTTGTTCAATGGTTCTCAACATGGGTTAAGAACTGGACGAACCACAACCTCTGCACTCCTTGCCTATTCAAGAACATCTCTGATGCCTTTGAATCTAATCCCCAAACAAGCAAACGCTGCTCCTCGCAGACAACACTTAGTCAAACTGCTAGGATTCTGGGTTGATTGCAAACTGAACTGGAACCACCATGTTGAGAAGGTATATGCGTTAGGCTACACAGATATATTGATCGATATTTTCATTCGAATGAGTGTACCTTAGGACCCAAAGTAAAGTGCAGCCTGGGCTGTACTTGACAAAAGAAATAACTTAATTTTAACTAAGTTTCGGTAAAAAATCAATGAGTAGGCCTAGCCTAGTTCATAGTTAAAAAATGTTCATAGGCCTAGCCTAATTTATGGTCTAGCCCACATGTAGGGCTAGGACTAGTCTAAGTTAATTTTAAATGTTGCATCATAAGTTTAGGCCTAAGTTATAAGCTTGAGGTTAACTTAACTTAGCCTACCCATAAAATTTAAGCTTGTGAAAATGTAAGTAAGCCTACCTGGAAAAGGGAGGTGTAAAATTAACCAAAACTTCGTTTTTTCATGTCAAACAGTTCTGTGGCGTCTATTAACCCCGACCCAGCATCTAAGAAAGCAAGGAAGGCCACGCTAAGACAGAACTGTCACCATGGTTATTGAAATGAACAACTAGGTTAATCAGGGAATACGTAGATAATTGATAAAATGAATATCTAGAGTCACTTGTCGTAGTTTGCTATTTGACAAATCGTTTAAAAAACGTAAAGAAGGAAATTGGCTAATAGGCTAGTTTTAGTTTCAGGATCACGAAAGCTATTATCTAGCCTAGTTCAGCTCAGCAAAACAAAGCCTCCTAATTTTAAGTTATTGGCTACAGTTCTGAAGGAACCTTAAAATTCAAATATAGCCTAATGTTTGGCTAGTACTGTAAATTATAAATTTGTTTCATGATTCGAACTGCAACACTGCAAGACTTGGCAAAACTTGACGAAACTAAACAAAACGTGAACGTGAACCTGTGAACGTGTGAACTGTGAAGTGAATTTACAAAGAATTGGATAGTAGTGAATTGAATACACAAAACACAACACACAACACAACACAATACGAGACGAAGAATAAGAAGAAACGAATGAACCATTGAACACTCCGGTGGGGCACACGGGAGGGACTAAGGCTAACATATCTTGTAGTGTCAGCGTTCGCCGCTAGAACTGCTAAGTTGAAATAATTTAAAATTATTATTATTTTTTTAATTTTTAGTCATAAAATTAACTTTTTAATTATAAAATATTGTTTCAAATTATAAAATAAATTTTTAATTTATTAAACTGTCATAACATAACCTAACCAACCAGACTTGCTGATAATATAAAAATCTAATTAATAATTACTTATAATTTTTAATTAAAAATTAGGTAAAACTGAACTTATACTACTTATGTTATATTGAACTTTTTTTGCCTTATCTACCTAAATTAGACTATTTTAAGCACTTTTTACCATTGGCACTTTTGGGGGAAACGTCTATTTCACCCTGAAAATCGTGTTTGAAAATCAATAAAAATGCTAGGAATCTATGATTTTAGACGCATGTAAAACTTTTTGGGTACAATTTCTTAACTGGACTAAACTATCAAATTTAAAATATTGTTTAATAATCTATATATTTACGAGCTATATATAAGTTATAAAATTAAACTATCATAACCTAACCTAACCAACCAAACTTGCTGATAGTGAAAACATCGAATGAAGGTTTACTAATAATCGGTATTATCATCGCCAAGTTAAGAAACTGTAGGTAGGTACCCAAGACCCAACTTCTTTTTACTACGTGTCAATAACTTAATAGGACTAACCTAACCTAGCATAACCAGGGTTTAGCCTACCCAAAATCGGTCATTTTGGCACATTGTACACCTAAGCATGGGTTAGGTTGGGTTGGGTTAGGTTAGGTTAGGTTAAGTTAGTTTATTATATATTTATTTTGGTTTACCCAAAAATGGGGTACCCTAATTTTTAATACCTAGCCTACTTTACTATTTTTCACGATTTTCAAACCTGGTTTCCTGGGTAAAAACGGCATTTGCCAAAAAAGTGTTTAAAATGGACTAATAATAGAAAAAAACCCACCCTAAGTTAAAAAGAAAATTATCAAGCCCCAAAAATCATTGATTTCTAGCATTTTTCTTGATTTTCAAACGTGATTTTCAGGGTGAAATAGGCGTTTCCCCCAAAAGTGCCAATGGTAAAAAGTGCTTAAAATAGTCTAATTTAGGTAGATAAGGCAGAAAAAGTTCAATATAACATAAGTAGTATAAGTTCAGTTTTACCAAAAATTAATTTTAGAATTTAGTATTATAAAGTTTAACTGTCATAACCTAACCTAACCAACCAAACTTGTTGATATGAAAAATTTGTTGACAAAAAGTTAGTGCTACTAGCGGGATTCGAACCCGGGACCTCCTGAACACCAATCCGAAACTCTATCAATTATGCCACGAACGCCGCTGAAATCACATCGTTTCGTTACGGTAATCGTGTCGCCTCAAGAGAAGACATTAGCCACTAGAGATATGACGTCACTACACCTTTAGCCTTAGTCCCTTCCGTGTGCCTATTCCTTGAACACTCTTCTTGGACTTTCTTTTCTTTATCTTAAACTTTTACTTTCTCTCTCTTCCTTCTTTTCCCCATTCTCTAAAAAAGCTGATTTGGTTAAACTACCATGTAACTATACTATTTTTAATTACTTTACTGGTTACACAAACAACGTTAGGATTGTATTAGCATGGTAGTAATTTACGAGTTATAATAATAATAATAAAAATAAATTATAATAATAAAAATGATGGCAAAAACCAACGGATATTTGTCAGAAAACAAAACCAAACTACAACTCAAAATCCCGAACCAAACCCAAAATACGTACCAATCATAAACAAAAATAAAATATCAGAAAAAGTTGGCAACGCTTCACGCTTCGAAAAAAAGCCAGCTACACACCTGCATACCAAGTCAAAAATCACTACTATAACATTATACAACAGAAAAAAGTACAGAAGCCCACCCAATAGAAAACGAGAGGAGTACACAAAATAACCTGCAATTCCTAGTATATCAAACAATACATTGGCTATACAAACAGGCAATTTCCCAGCGTTTTAAAGAGCACAACACAACACTACCTGCAAAAATTTTCACTTCGACTGTTTATCCCCCCCGAAAACGCTAGGCACGAGTCCGGGATTGTTTTTCACTTTACTTAAGGCTAGACCTAGGGGTTGCAGCATTATCACTTATATAAAATCCATTGGGATTTGGCGGGATATGAAACCGAGATCTCGTGGACCGAAGTACCGCGCTCAAACCACTAGACCAGCTAGCTTCACCAGCCACTTTGACAGTAGCAAAACCCCTCAAACAAAACCCCACCTACTCAATCATTCCCCAATTCCCTCACAGTTTTAAACAAACGAATAGTACTATAAAAGACTATAAATATTCCATCATCTTTAAAACTGTAGATGAAATTAAAAAAAAAAAAACTAACCGATATGGCAACATCGCAGAGAATATGCACCGTTGCAGACACAGCAATTTCGGGAAACCCCAGTCAGTCCACAACCCTGACATTGTCAGTAGATTTGTCCAAGATGTGCTAGAAGTAAGCCTCCCACAGCTCCCACGTTTGCGGCCTTCGAAGTGGCAACATCTCAAAAGTAGGGTTGTAACAGCTGTTTTGTTTTGGAGGCAGGTAAATGGTATTTATGTATTTTTTTAGAATATGAAGTTTGGTTACTGGGCTATTAAAATGAAAAATATTGACTCCACCTTTAATGTACAAAAGTGGATTCCCAATTCTATATGTTATATTTTCAATCTTTTAATACATTTATGTTCATAAATTTAAATGAATAATGCGCGAATTAATGAGCTGGTTGTCACCTGTCTGCTATTTTATCTGATGGGATGTCTGGCGCTCTACAACACTACTTGCAACGTTGCCAATGTATCAACCCACGCCACGAGTGCAAGCAACTTCAGTGATATGATATACAAACTGTACAGTAGTGACACACGCCAACTTTCCGGCGCCCTGGGATGCGGGGAACGATCCCAGACATTACCCTTGCATCTGAGTCTCTTTTGCCAAGGATATGAAAGCCTGGAGAGTCCTGGAGGATTACACGGCCAGTGACCACCAGTACATAATTTTTGATGTCCTGGATGGTCATCAGAGACGAGTAGCCGCGCTTCGTCAAGTGCCCGTTCGATGGAATTTAAAAAAATTGGACGTGGCAAAATTCAATGAAGCGCCATCTTACGAGGAACGCTGGTGGTTCCTCCCGCATCTAACGTAGCTCATGCAGAGGCGGCAGTTACATCCATGATGGGACTTTTGTAATAAACATATTTTTGTAAATGATCAAATAGGCCTATATCTGATCATGATATTATTTTTACTCAGTTAACCACAACCGAGCAAGGCTTGGCCCGCCCCCCCCCCCCCCGGTACTATGTTATTTAACCAAGCTCTAGCAGAGTAACACAAGCGCCGTTTTCCTGCTTTTTCTTGGAAGTTGTTCAACAAGCTCCCCCCAGAGATCAGCAGTCTTCCAGAAAAAAAGTTTGCCAGGGTTCTACGAGATAGGGCTTCTTCAAGGAGCATACTAAACTTACTCCGTGAGAGAGTATTTTGATGACAAATGGTAGAGTGCACAAATCACCTCCGTAGTCACCCGCCAAGTTCTTATTTTTATTTTTGAATCTTTCAAATTTATTTTCTTGAAAGAGTACAAGTTTTATTTGTTGTAAATAATTAATATTTATATTAAAAAATTGACGCAGTTTATCCAGCTATGCTGGTCAACAACGCAGCTTTGGTAATAAGGTAATAATTCAATCAAAGGCAACCATATAAATTAAGGGTTGAATCTCGTAGGCTATCTCAAACTGCTGGTGAGACAATGAATTAAATTAAGAAGAGGGAGATAATTATTAACAGTAATGACAACAGGGCAAAAACGACAACATAATAGGTTATATAAAAAATAGTTAACAAGACAAGTAAAGGGCAAAGGCAGGGCAGACTGAAGAAAAAGCAATGCTTCTTGTTAACTGTTACATTTATTTAGTTCCTAGCATCTAAAATGAGAATGCATTACTGCGGCCAGACGGTCGTTGTAAACGAAAAAAAAACTAAATGAAAACAAGACAGCACAGACAACAGAACAAGAACTAGGCAGTAGGCTAGGCACTAGGCCTAAAGTGACAGACGACATTTCTTTCAATTAATTTCAAACCTTCACTTACTACTTTGCTAATTAATTGCTTTTTACTTTATTAGCTGCTGATGCTAAGTTATTAGTAAAAATTAGTGATTGCTGAGGTTGAGTGAATTTTCAGAGGAGTGCAGAGTGCTCTGGACTGCTGGGCAGGTGACGAAACCGAAAGGTTAACTTCCCGTCCTGACATATTTATGAACCAAGCGAAACTTTACTAAATAACTGTGTAGGTATTTGTTTATTCATATTTTCATTTTCTTGTTAATGGTATGGGGTTCAGTTTCTTAACTGAGCTACGCTAATATCGATAAATAACCGATATTTTTTACTCTATCAATTTTAAAATGAAACTGTCATAACCTAACCTATCTCGAATCAGGTATAAAAACAATATAAGGAAATCAAATATCCATCCATGATCCAAAATCACTAGGCCTATCATGGACTTGTCACTTATTTATTACTAGGCTATGGCCTAAATATTATAATATGCCTAATGGTGTTAACCAAGTCCAAGTGCATAAATAATATTCGATTGACGTCAAATGTACAGAAAGGCGGTATGCATACTGACAATAACACAATGTAGCCTAATTATAGCAATATTATCAATATGTAAACTTATGAAAGTGTACGTTATTAACCTTACAAAACTCGTTTTGACTTTAATAAAATGTTTCACTTGGTACTTAAAAATGACTTACCGTATATTGAAA